TTATTACTATGGTCTGAGGTAGTTTCTACACATAGGAGGTATTTATTACTATAGTCTGAGGCAGTTTATACACAGGGGGTATTTATTACTATAGTCTGAGGTAGTTTATATACATAGGGGGTATTTATTACTATAGTCTGAGGTAGTTTCTACACATAGGAGGTATTTATTACTATAGTCTGAGGCAGTTTATACACAGGGGGTATTTATTACTATAGTCTGAGGCAGTTTATACACATAGGGGGTATTTATTACTATAGTCTGAGGTAGTTTATACACAGGGGGTATTTATTACTATAGTCTGAGGTAGTTTATACACATAGGGGGTATTTATTACTATAGTCTGAGGTAGTTTATACACAGGGGGTATTTATTACTATAGTCTGAGGTAGTTTATATACATAGGGGGTATTTATTACTATAGTCTGAGGCAGTTTATACACGTAGGGGGTATTTATTACTATGGTCTGAGGTAGTTTCTACACATAGGAGGTATTTATTACTATAGTCTGAGGCCGTTTATACACAGGGGGTATTTATTACTATAGTCTGAGGTAGTTTATATACATAGGGGGTATTTATTACTATAGTCTGAGGCAGTTTATACACAGGGGGTATTTATTACTATAGTCTGAGGTAGTTTATATACATAGGGGGTATTTATTACTATAGTCTGAGGTAGTTTATATACATAGGAGGTATTTATTACTATAGTCTGAGGTAGTTTATATACACGGGGGTATTTATTACTATAGTCTGAGGCAGTTTATACACAGGGGGTATTTATTACTATAGTCTGAGGTAGTTTATACACACAGGGGGTATTTGTTACTATAGTCTGAGACAGTTTATACACACAGGGGGTATTTGTTACTATAGTCTGAGACAGTTTATACACATAGGGGGTATTTATTACTATAGTCTGAGGTAGTTTATATACATAGGGGGTATTTATTACTATAGTCTGAGGCAGTTTATACACAGGGGTATTTGTTACTATAGTCTGAGGTAGTTTATATACATAGGGGGTATTTATTACTATAGTCTGAGGTAGTTTATATACATAGGGGGTATTTATTACTATAGTCTGAGGTAGTTTATATACACGGGGGTATTTATTACTATAGTCTGAGGCAGTTTATACACATAGGGGGTATTTATTACTATAGTCTGAGGTAGTTTATACACATAGGGGGTATTTATTACTATAGTCTGAGGTAGTTTATATACATAGGGGGTATTTATTACTATAGTCTGAGGCAGTTTATACACAGGGGGTATTTATTACTATAGTCTGAGGTAGTTTATACACACAGGGGGTATTTGTTACTATAGTCTGAGACAGTTTATACACACAGGGGGTATTTGTTACTATAGTCTGAGACAGTTTATACACATAGGGGGTATTTATTACTATAGTCTGAGGTAGTTTATACACATAGGGGGTATTTATTACTATAGTCTGAGGCAGTTTATACACAGGGGTATTTGTTACTATAGTCTGAGGTAGGTTATATACATAGGGGGTATTTATTACTATAGTCTGAGGTAGTTTATATACATAGGGGGTATTTATTACTATAGTCTGAGGTAGTTTATATACATAGGGGGTATTTATTACTATAGTCTGAGGTAGTTTATATACATAGGGGGTATTTATTACTATAGTCTGAGGTAGTTTATACACATAGGGGGTATTTATTACTATAGTCTGAGGTAGTTTATATACACGGGGGTATTTATTACTATAGTCTGAGGCAGTTTATACACATAGGGGGTATTTATTACTATAGTCTGAGATAGTTTATATACATAGGGGGTATTTATTACTATAGTCTGAGGTAGTTTATACACATAGGGGGTATTTATTACTATAGTCTGAGATAGTTTATATACATAGGGGGTATTTATTACTATAGTCTGAGGTAGTTTATACACATAGGGGGTATTTATTACTATAGTCTGAGGTAGTTTATATACACGGGGGTGTTTATTACTATAGTCTGAGGCAGTTTATACACATAGGGGGTATTTATTACTATAGTCTGAGGTAGTTTATACACATAGGGGGTGATTATTACCATAGTCTGAGGTAGTTTATACACATAGGGGGTATTTATTACTATAGTCTGAGGTAGTTTATACACATAGGGGGTATTTATTACTATAGTCTGAGGTAATTTATACACACAGGGGGTATTTATTACTATAGTCTGAGGTAGTTTATACACATAGGGGGTATTTATTACTATAGTCTGAGGTAGTTTATACACATAGGGGGTATTTATTACTATAGTCTGAGGTAGTTTATACACATAGGGGGTATCTATTACTATAGTCTGAGGTAGTTTATACACATAGGGGGTATTTATTACTATAGTCTGAGGCAGTTTATACACATAGGGGGTATTTATTACTATAGTCTGAGATAGTTTATACAGATAGGGGGTATTTATTACTATAGTCTGAGGTAGTTTATACACATAGGGGGTATTTATTACTATAGTCTGAGGTAGTTTATACACATAGGGGGTATTTATTACTATAGTCTGAGGTAGTTTATACACAGGGGGTATTTATTACTATAGTCTGAGGTAGTTTATACACATAGGGGGTATTTATTACTATAGTCTGAGGTAGTTTATAGACAGGGGGTATTTATTACTATAGTCTGAGGCAGTTTATACACGTAGGGGGTATTTATTACTATAGTCAGAGGTAGTTTATACACGTAGGGGGTATTTATTACTATAGTCAGAGGTAGTTTATACACGTAGGGGGTATTTATTACTATAGTCAGAGGTAGTTTATACACGGGGTATTTATTACTATAGTCTGAGGTAGTTTATACACATAGGGGCTATTTATTACTATAGTCTGAGGTAGTTTGTTCACAGGGGTATTTATTACTATAGTCTGAGGTAGTTTATATACATAGGGGGTATTTATTACTATAGTCTGAGGTAGTTTATACACATAGGGGGTATTTATTACTATAATCTGAGGCAGTTTATACACAGGGGGTATTTATTACTATAGTCTGAGGTAGTTTATACAGATAGGGGGTATTTATTACTATAGTCTGAGGTAGTTTATACACAGGGGGTATTTATTACTATTGTCTGAGGTAGTTTATACACAGGGGGTATTTATTACTATTGTCTGAGGTAGTACATACACAGGACGGTATTTTAATTAAATAATTTGAGGTAGTTTGTTTATGGGGCATTTATTACATGGAGGCCTGGAGCAGTGTATTATACAGGAAGGCTGTTTAATATACACTATGATACCCTGAGCTGGGGCAGTGTATATTATACTGGGAGGCTGTTTATTATACACTGATACCCTGAGCTGGGGCAGTGTATTATACAGGGAGGCTGTTTATTATACACTATAAAACCCTGAGCTGGGGCAGTGTATATTATACTGGGAGGCTGTTTATTATACACTATGATCCCTGAGCTGGGGCAGTGTATTAAACATGGAGGCTGTTTATTATACACTATGATACCCTGAGCTGGGGCAGTGTATTATACTGGGAGGCTGTTTATTACACACTGATACCCTGAGCTGGGGCAGTGTATATTATACTGGGAGGCTGTTTATTATACACTATGATCCCTGAGCTGGGGCAGTGTATTAAACATGGAGGCTGTTTATTATACACTATGATACCCTGAGCTGGGGCAGTGTATTATACTGGGAGGCTGTTTATTATACTGATACCCTGAGCTGGGGCAGTGTATATTATACTCTGAGGCTGTTTGTTAAATACTGATACCATGAGCTGGGGCAGTGTATATTATACTGGGAGGCTGTTTATTATATACTGATACCCTGAGCTGGGGCAGTGTATATTATACTCTGAGGCTGTTTGTTAAATACTGATACCATGAGCTGGGGCAGTGTATATTATACTGGGAGGCTGTTTATTACACACTATGATACCCTGAGCTGGGGCAGTGTATATTATACTGGGAGGCTGTTTATTACACACTATGATACCCTGAGTTGGGGCAGTGTATATTATACTGGGAGGCTGTTTATTATATACTGATACCCTGAGCTGGGGCAGTGCATATTAAACTGGGAGGTTGTTTATTATACACTGATACCCTGAGCTGAGGCAATGTATATTATACTGGGAGGCTGTTTATTATATACTGATAACCTGAGCTGGGGCAGTGTATATTATACTGGGAGGCTGTTTATTACACACTATGATACCCTGAGCTGGGGCAGTGTATATTATACTGGAAGGCTGTTTATTATACACTGATACCCTGAGCTGAGGCAATGTATATTATACTGGGAGGCTGTTTATTATATACTGATACCCTGAGCTGAGGCAATGTATATTATACTGGGAGGCTGTTTATTATATACTGATACCCTGAGCTGAGGCAATGTATATTATACTGGGAGGCTGTTTATTATATACTGATAACCTGAGGTGGGGGCAGTGTATATTATACTGGGAGGCTGTTTATTATACACTGATACCCTGAGCTGAGGCAATGTATATTATACTGGGAGGCTGTTTATTATATACTGATACCCTGAGGTGGGGGCAGTGTATATTATACTGGGAGGCTGTTTATTATATACTGATACCCTGAGCTGGGGCAGTGTATATTATACTGGGAGGCTGTTTATTATATACTGATACCCTGAGCTGGGGCAGTGTATATTATACTGGGAGGCTGTTTATTACACACTATGAGAGGGTGGGAAGGTGGTATGTCATGTGATCTGAGGGCCCTGACAGACTGGGCGGGGTCAGAGGAGACGCCTTGAGGCGGGAGATGGCTCTGTGAATGTGTAGAAGAGGCGGGTCCTACACGTCAGCGGGCGGGCTTAGTCTAACTGTCTATTGGGCGGAGCTCTGCTTAGGCGGGGAGTGAGAGGGAGTTGCCTATTGGTGGTGTTGGAGGGAGCGCCGGTGGTTTGGCTCCTCCCCCTCTCTCACCATTGGCTGGCTCCGTTGTGGTGAGTGTGCAGACGCTGTGCGGGTTTAGTGCGCATGCGTAGCCCCAGCTAGTAGCCGCGGGTACAGACAGCGCCCGGCACTCACTCACTCACCGGAGCAGTCACTCACTGACGGTCTTACTGCTTCTTCACACCCGCTCAGCTGCCATGGTGGACTATCACGCGACCCCTGGGGTCCCCAAGCCCATGGGAATTATAGGCCCCGATGGCCGATACATGGAGCAGGAGGACGACTGGGACCGGGACCTGCTGCTCGACCCGGCCTGGGAGAAACAGCAACGGAAGGTAAATATATAAATATAATAATAATAATAATAATATACACAGAGACCCGGCCTGGGAGAAACAGCAACGGAATGTAAATATATATAATAATAATAATAATAACCTTAATAATATCATAATAATATACACAGAGACCTAGCCTGGGAGAAACGGCAACGGAATGTAAATATATAATAATAATATAATATAATAATAATAATAATAATATACACAGAGACCCTGCCTGGGAGAAATGGCAAAGGAATGTAAATATATATAATATAATATAATAATATCATATACACAGAGGCCTGGGAGAAACAGCAAAGGAAGGTAAATATATAATATAATAATATACACACAGAGACTCTGCCTGGGAGAAATGGCAACGGAAGGTAATATATATAATAATAATAATAATAATATACAGAGACCCGGCCTGTGAGAAACGGCAATGGAATGTAAATATATATAATATAATAATATAATATACACAGAGACCCGGCCTGGGAAAAACCGCAACGGAAGGTAATATATAAATATAATAACAATATACATAGAGACCCGGCCTGGGAGAAACCGCAACGGAAGGTTAATATAATATACATAGACCCGGCCTGGGAGAAACAGCAATGGAAGTTAATTGTATAATAATAATAAATATACATAGAGACCCGGCCTTGGAGCAACCGCAATACAAGGTAATAACATCTAATATATACAAACTACAAAAAAGGCTAATATTGTATAAACAAGTGTATATATTGTATTGAGAGAGGACCAGGTAACATTCATGTAGAGACCAGTCCTGTGAGCAGCAGGAAATATAGCTCTATCTCTCTGAGGTAGTTTGTAAATGGGGCTTATTTGTTGCAATAATCTGAGGTAGTTTGTTTATGGGGCATTTATTAGCCCCATAAATATGTTTGTGTCCATACATAGAGCCAGGGAACATGCATATATTATGGAGTCCAAGGAGAAACCACAGAGGAAGGCAACATATATTCCCCATACATAGACTATCGCGAGTCAATTTTTCATTGACGGAAGCGCAAATGTATAATTTACAGTTATACAGTGGTCGGATGTGGATTTTTCTTTAAAAGGATCATTGGGTTTCTTTGGCGTAACCATATTGTGCGTAAAACGTCTGCTTTGGGGTTTTTTTGTTGGGGAGGAATCTGCATAATTTCTGTAGCGCTAAATTAATTGTAAATATTATTCTATAGTGCCCTGGTAAAACACTACATGAATTATATATATTAATCTATATGGCCCGGCTAACACACTAAATAAGTTATACATATTCTATAGAGCCCTGGTAACACACTAAATAAGTTCTAGATATGCCAAATGAGTTTTACATATGACTCTCTATAGAGCCCAGCTAATGCAAAATGAGGCCATGCAATGTTAGTGTAGGGTCTCTATGGATCAGACTGTTATGGCTGTAGGACCATGGTCCTTAACAGGATATAGGAAACCACAAGCTGTAAATATGCAAGCCAATTTTTAGATTCTCTTCCAAATGTCAGCCATTCAGATTAATATCTGTTAACATCCTGTTTGTAGGATACTATTTTCAGAAGTTTATTGGTTTGCTAAATGAGTTAGCATTCATTTGATTAATCCCCTCCTACAAAGAATGTTGCATGCATTCCATGTTCCAATGTATGATGTATGTTCTATCTGGTACATGCATTTTCCGGGACTCCACTCTCTAACTTTACCTTTTGTATTCAGCACAGCAGTAACCTTTCCTGTATTCTGTTCCTCTGAAGTCCACATGACTTTGCACCTATATTTTTGTCATTTTATTCCTGTTATGGTCACTGGGCGTATTTTTCAAGCAGGACAATACACAAATGGAGATTTACAAGGTAGAGCAGAAGTAGTTTCCTGGTCTGTACAAGCCATTTGCAGAGCTGCATGGTTTTCTGGATTCCATTTATCTAGTTGTATACCTTATACAGGCATTGCTCTATTGCCTTTCTGTTGCTAGCCACAAGTGCAAGACTGTGCAAATTTAGTATGGGTATCACAACCTAAAACTTAAGTTCAGACTTAGGTCAGTGATTTTATTTAGGAGCACAAGTTTCCAATTGCTGCTATGAAGGATGGCCTATTACATGGCAATAATTGTCTCTGTTTAAAAGTTATTGATCATTGAATGCAGGTGGCCCTTCTGTGGACACATGCATAGCATATCTATCAACTGAGCATCTACTTCTACTGTCCTTTGGGCGCTTTGCTCACAGCTGGAATGGCAGTAGCTGTGTGTTGCCTGTTATATCCCCAATAAAGATTTATATTTTTGACATGCATTGCTTAGAATCTTAGGATATTGTATAGTGAGAACGTACTTTCTATTGTAAAACTTTGCTCAGTTACTATAAAATCATGATCTTTGTGCACTGTAACACTGCTTTCATCCTCAGTAGGTTTTCATTAAGCTCACAGCCTCATCGCATTCATTCACCAACATATATGGAGTGGCTGCGAGACCTTAGCAATGACTACAAGGGGGAAAAAAAACTCATTAGACCAACTGGCATAGACTAATGCACTCACATGAGGCAAACACGGCTGGATTAATGTGACCATCAAATCCTGGCTTGTAGTCACCATAATTAGAGGATATGAGAACAGGAGTTACATCAGGTTTGCTATTAACCACTTCTATAAAGCCATGTTCCTGTTTTGTAGATAGCTGGTACATGTAACGGTTTTTATTTTATTCATTTTTTTGTGGCCTTTGAGATCTCAAAAATCAGAAACAATGCAATGGCAAATAATGTGAGATGACATTTGTGTACCAAATCAGGTGTGCTTCGCCATGTCAATGGGTGCGTTTAGAGTTCTTGTGGTTTGTACAAGTAATGACACTTGTAAGCCAGTTACATATACTAATAGGTGTAAAGATCATATCTGATGGTTGCCATCTATAAACTCCTTCCTTCTTGCAGCATCTCAAATGTTGCTCATGGTTTGCAGCTCTTGTCTGATTGCTTTACATTCTGTGTGTGCCAATGGCATCAAAGCCTTTTAGCTAACATGTCTGCACTTTTCACATGACTTTATGGAATTCATTTTATGTAGGGCAATACACATAGTTTATGTGATTTGTCCTGTCAAAACCTACGAGGAGCCTTTTAATATCTGGTTTGATAAGTGGCTGATGGCTTTTCTATAAGGTTCTAGTTGCACTTTTCTCCTGGGATGTCGGCTAGTGATATTTAATTCCCTAGCAAGAAAACCTCAGCTCAATACACTTCCTTCTAGTTTCTCAGTCCAGCTGTTATTCTGGACTTTCTGGCAGGTCCCTGTTTGTGTAGCATTAGATGAATGGAATGCTCGCTGTTGCCTGGAAAATTCTCAGATATTTTCCAGCTTTCTGTCTGATGGGTGTGTGATGCTAAGGAGTCATACTCATTCACTGAGAGGTGTAGTAGCAATGTGCCGGTATCGCTGGGTGTGGTGACACATCCCTCTTCCATTGAAGTAGTCTCTTGTGACATTGAAATGTTGTATATTAGTAACACTTGGCTTTTAAAATCCTTCAGCCACGTAATGATCTGAAAATACAAAGCATCTGTCTGAATCAAACTGCATTGGTTCCCAATCCTGGCCTGAAACCTGTATATTAGGTCTTCCTCAATAACAATTCCAAAAGTCAGAACTTAAGTCTTCTGCCCCATTCACCACGCTGTACATGAAATGATTCAGCAGAGTCTGTCATCCTCCTCTGCGTGTAAGTGGTTGATTTTGTTTTGTCTGCTCTGAATAATCAAAGGAGGTTCCTCCCATTAAAAACAGTCTTTTATAGCCTTTTAAGAAGACCCTGTCAAATTAGACCTGCCTGTTTTAATTGGTGCCCGATATGAATTGATTTCATTTTCGGCAACTATCTCTACAACAGCGACCTGGAGAATTCTTCTTGAAAGCGGAAGAAGGATCCGCCATGGAAGACTGTATATGTTTCCTCAGTAGGAGACACAGAACGAAGCGGTATTGCTGCCATGGCCCCTGGCGTGATTTTTAATAACTTGACGTTATTTCAATGACTGTTGTCTCCATGTTCTGTGAAAGCGGATCTGGGGTGCAGAAATAGAACCTGTATTTTGTGTTCTGCTTTTTAAAGGAACTGCAAGTTCTGCTAAGACCAGACTTTGTGGTTAATGTGTGAGCAATAACTTTCTGCTGCATCTTGCTTCCACAAAGCATAGTACTTCTATTGCTGCAACTGCTCCCAGATTTTCCTGAGTGAAGTTAAACTATTAGCTGTGAGCCTCGAAACCTTTCCAATTCCCCTGGCTAGGGACGCTCTCACAGAGCCTGAATAGCCTCTTTTATAGAGCTCTCTGAGGAAGCACAGTTGCCTTTTTATGGCAGACAATAAGCAGCTCTAAGTAGGCCGTCCTGTGTTCAGGTGCTGGGCAGACCTGGAGATCAGGTTTATCAGGATGCCACATGGACCAGCAATGTGCGGGCTTTTTGTTAACAGTGCACTGGCTTTAACCCATTCAGTGGCAGTTGCAAACTATCTCCCCCTTAAATGTAGGGTCCCTTGAGGATTCCTTGTGGCAGTCTGTGGATTGTGCCCTGTTTTCCAGAATAATAGAATGCAGAAAGGGATTTATATATCTCCATGCTTACTCTGCTTTCTTTTGTCCTCTTCATATACTTTGCATTCTGTGTTCATGCCACATGCAGTTAGCAGAGTATTTAGTATAAAAATTTTAAAATGCATGTTCCAGGGTCGTCTTAGTGGCGGCTGCTGTCAGTGCAGTGGAATTGTACTTTTAACCTTGCAGCCGAGTAATCATTAACTGTTTCTGTAATGTTATGTCAGGAGAGAAAAGGTTAAGTATGTCTTTGTTTGCTGAGTTGTGCAAGGGTGGTTTTAACTCTTGACTGACCAAGTGAACGGGTGAGGCCCTTGAAATGCTCAGGAAAGACAGGTAAATGTGAACACTTTTGGATGCACGATTCACATCATGGTTATAAAGTGTCTGCAGCACTCCAATAGTTTAAATGGAGTTTATGCAAGCTCTTTAATCGTGGCTGGATAGAAACACTTAGATTTATTCACTGAAGTGACTTTTTATTTTTATTTTTTTGACACTTCAGAGTGAATTAAAAGCTAAACTGGAAGGAAAATGATATGGAGGTGTTGTTTTTTTTTGTTTGTTTGTTTTTCCCCTTCCAATGTTTTAAAGTTCACTTTAAATTCCTGGAATTCTCAGTTTAGTGAATAATCCTGTGAGTGTTGAACATTGACAACTATGCATTAGTGAATAAACTTTGCGGAGTCCTGGTAACCGTTATTTCATTTACAGTCACTGGATGGGTGTTAATGGCTGTTACTAGTGACTGGACTCACAATTCCCATTCACTCCCTCCTGGTCAGTGGCTTCCCGGCCTTTATATTCCTGAAACCTTCTCTTTTATTTTGAATCCACTTATCATGCTGTCTAGTAGAGGTAGTTTATTAACCCATTTCTTGCCTCAAACAAGTGGTTCTATTGCCAAATGTTTGTAACTGTTACACTGCTCCTATAGACCTGTTCTTGCTCTCTTTGCTAAGTATTTTATTATGAAGTGCTAAGGCCCAACCTGCAGGCTTCTCATTAACATTGCATATGGCCAAACCTGTCCCCTCTGCATCGTGACTTCCTGTGTTTTGTGGTGTGCTGTCATCACACCTCCTTCCTGGCCTGGTGATTTTTTTTTTTTTTTTTCTCTCACTCTCTCTCTAGATCCTACATCTCTCTCGACTTGATAGCACAGTGATATTGTCACTGACTTTGAACCACAGGTTCGAATCCCGACCCCAGTAAGTGCCCGTGGGCTAGACACCTAATGATCTATATCTATACACACACACACACACACACACTCGCTCACTCTGCTCACCTCAATAATATGAGCGCAACACGAACGAAGAATCATGACGGCTCGGACGTCACCCGGATTAACAAGGTCCATGTCAGATGCTAGGGAACCAGGGCAATCTGACAAGTGGGCTACTGGACACTGAGAGAGAACCTAGACCTGCTTAAATGCTACTACAACAACAGACCCAATGAGAGGCTACATGAAACGTATGTGGAAGCTATGGATGAATAAGAGACCATCATCTACCCCAACACTAAAACAGCTGGTTACACAACGTTTGAACATCTTCAAGAGAAATCTAGTGTCACAACTGGAAACTAATGGACTACAGAAAAAAAACAACCATACACCACGAGGAGGAAGAAATTCCCATACCGACATTCTTACCTGCAGAGAATTGTCAACCTCAATCCATACCCCAAGATGGCATAACAGATATAAGGGAAATGATCGTAGAAAAACTTGCAGTCGTTAACCTGCAACCACCAGACAGCATACTAGCTGAAGTTAATGAAGCATTGTACACAATCCCATCCTGAACAGGCTCATATATGCCACAGCACTAGTGATCCTCCAGCTACTTGACTCAAAGAGAAGCAATGCCCACCATGGAGACTACGACTGGAAGCCAAGAAAAAAAAAAAACACAGAAGGAAGTTGGTAAGCTGAATTAATTTAACAGAGGTGGAAAAATCAAAGCTACTTCCTGGCTGCTGCGGAAGTACAAGGATATGCCCATTCTGGAGGCGCTGGAAACCGTTAAGCAAAGACTGACAGCACTGGCAACCAGACTGAGCAGAGGCGAAGAGAATAAATGCCCTCTTTACCAAAGAACCATCCAAGATATATGCACAGCTACAGGGTAACCACCGCTGAGACTGAACAGTACTGGAAGAATATCTGGGAGCAAGAAGCATCTCATAACACTGAGGCCCAGTGGCTTCTAGACCTGAAAGCGGACCACTGCATGCTGCCAGAACAAGTCATCATCACAGTCGAAGATATCAAACAGAGAGCAGCACACATGAAGAGCTGGTCAGCACCATGGTCCACAACTACTGGATAAAGAAGTTAACAGTGCTGCATGAATGCCTAGGACAAATGAACCAGCTACTAGCAACAGGCTCCCACCCTGACTGGTTAACACAAGACAGAATAATACTGGTCATGGAGGACCCTCACAAGGGAAGAGCACCATCCAACTACCGACCAATAACCTGCCTCCCCACAACATGGAAACTCATGTCAGGCATCAAAGCCTCCAAGATCCAAGGGCATATGAGTTAATATATGAGCAATACTGAGAAGGGGATTGGAAACCACACTAGAGGATCAAAACGCCAACTTCTGGTAGACCAAGCAGTCACAAGGGATTCTAAGATCAGACGGACCAATCTGTGTATGGCCTGGATTGACTCCAAGAAAGCCTATGGCACAATGCCACACACATGGATACTGGAATGCTTGGCTCTAGACAAGGTCAACAAGACAATAGGAGCCTTCATCATGAACTCTATGGGCAAATGGAAAATAACTCTAGTAGCCAATTCCAGGACAATAACTCAAGTGAACATCAAATGTGGCATATACCAAGGTGATGCGCTATCCCCAATGATGTTCTGCATAGGCTGCAACCACCTTAGCCAGATCATCATTAATAGTGGATACGGATACAGGTTCAAGAGTGGAGCTACCAGCAGCCACCTTCTCTACCTGGACATCAAGCTGCATGCCAAGAATGAGCGAGACATTGACTCACTGACCCACCCAACTATTATTATTATTTTTTTTTTCACCCCATAGGATTAATAGTAGACCTGGCGCTGTGAAACCTGGACAGCCAGCCATGTGTCTATTAAGCTGTAGCAATAGAAAGCCAAGATGGGCAATTGAGTGGTTTTAAAAGAACACTACTTTGGGAAAATAAAAATCACTGAGTAGATATACTCAAAAAGAAAACATGTATGCAATTAATTATGCATTTTACGTTGAGGTTATATCTAAAGCAGCTTGTAAAAAGCTGCAAAACTGCTGTCTGCATCCTTCGCAGGCCCTTCCCTCCTTCTCCAGCCTGTACTTTATCGTCTCATTGAGAAGCCTCTGTTCTGAAGTTGAAATCGTCTACATGCCATGGTAGAAGGCAGACATGCTGTAGCCCAGGGTACCTGCAGCTTCCGTTAGCTTGACAGAGCAAACATGTGGTAAAAAACTTTCATAGCTCTGAGTGAGTGGCAGCCAGTGAGGTGTTTTGCTGTTTGTAACAATGCAACTTCTAGCCCTTTTTATAAACTGTCCCAAATCTGACAGCTTCCAGACACTTAACTGCTAGCTAGTCCTTTTAACCGGTTACTCAAACGTCCATGACCACTTCTTCTTTTTGATGTGGTCACGCAGGAAGAAATCTGGATGTGCAGTGTTTCTGCATAGCACATGTGACTTTGGCAGGCCGGCACTCCAAATGTCAATTCTGTGCTTCTTCTTTTACCTGTGTGCATATTTTAATCTGGCAACAAGCATTCTGATTCTTCCCTTGCAAGCTTGTTTCTGTCCTCCACACCTCCCTTCCCACCCCCTCCTCTCGCCGCTGAGTCTGTAAGCCTGCAAAACTATCCTACTCTATTAAAAAGCTTTTTGATTGGACCTTGATGTGGCTGCTGTCACAAGAGGGCCCGGTGCTGCTTTTCAGGTTAAACTTTATTTTCAAACACTCTCCCTGACATTTGGGGGTCATAGGACATTAAAACAAATATATTTAATATGGATAGACTGACCCCTAATATTTGCACATTGCAGCAACAGGTGGCATGGCTGGTGTGATTTTATTTTTATTTTTTTTTCCCTCCCTTTCTGCTCAGCCTGTATTTACAGGGTTTCAATACTGGTGAAAGCTGGCTCGCTGTTGCTGGCCTGGAATTCCAGCTATGTATGTTCTTTAAAACAGCCCAGTAGAAATGTCTGAGCCCTTTGGATGTTTTCTCAGGCCAGGGCTGTAAATCCAGTCAGATTCACTGAACTTGCCTTATTTGCCCTTCCCTCCACGCATAGTTTGTCTTAGTATAGTTTTTATCCTAGTTAAACTACTAGCAGCAAACATCCTTTACTAATTGTTTGTGTTCCCCAGTCTGGCTGCTGTGCTTTGCTCTGTCAGGATGTGTTGATTCTTTGCTGCTTGCTATTGCTGTGGGTGTAAATTGTTGTTTGCTCCAACTTGTGGCTGGACAGAAGCCAGGCAATAAACACAAGATGTATTATGAAGACTAAATTCGTTTGTGCTGGTTTTATTTTTTGTGTGCCAGGGATCTGTGTATGAAGTAGTCTGTGTGCTTTAAGTCCTATCTAAAGGATTCCTTCCATCTAATCGCAGTGTCTGGACAGCTTAATTCTCTTAGCAAACCAAAAGGTAGACTTTGTGGTTCCCTTCTGCTGTGTTCATCCCACACTGGTTTATTTGTTAAATTACACCATCATAAAGGCCACAAGACCTGTCTCTTAACACACCCTCGGGATTATTCAATAAACTCCAGATTGTGCAGCGTTAAATCTGAATGATACATTTAGGAAAAAACAGTCAAGCCGTGACTCAAGCTGGTTTTGGAAATTCCTCTATCTGCCATTTTTGCCTTAATTTTATACTTTGGATTGAATTTGCTAAAATCATAGTGAACAATCCTGCAAGTCTGTTGTCCAGTTCTTTGTGGCAGTAGGGTTAAAGACTGTGCTTGTATTGCTATCATCCCTCTAATATCTGCAAACAGCCCCAAATAAAAGCAATTCCTATACCTCCTGATAATGCAAGGAAACTGACACTGCACATGGGTTGGTGAGTGCTATGGAGGGGCACCTACTGGTTCCAGTCTACACAGTTCTCGCTGGGCAACCATGTCTAAAATGTTGCCAATAATCTGCATTTTATTGCCATTGAATGACTTCCATCTTTCAGCATTCTTTCCTAATTAAATAGCACCTTTTTATTATTCCAGGCTCTGTTGGATATTTCCGCTTGCCAACTGACCTGTAATGAGGACATTGCACAAACTAACAATGGGAGTGTTATACACATGGATTGGGCTACTAAGATTTCCTCCCCATATGTCAATTGGTGTGTGTGTGTGTGTGTATAAACACAGGAGAACTGTAAAGACCTGTTATTTTGGTCCTTGTGAGTGGTGTAAATTGGTGGGTATGTGGGTAGGTAGCAGGCCTGGACATTGTTATACACTAGCGTATTGCTCAGTTTATAAACTTGCTATCTTGTAGCAGATAACCTCTGTAAATTTCAGTTGCAGGCAGAGGTTTAGATTCTTTGGGGAACACTGAATGGATTTTTGAACCGTCTTTGCCAGCTTTCTGACAGTCTGTTCCCAGCATCCCTTTATCATGTGATGCTCTTCAGAAATGTTCCTCTTTATGACCCTGGTCAGGGAGGAGTGGTGTCTGACACAGCCCCCTGCAGCTTTCTAACAATGAACTGCTCTTAATCAGGTTGAAGTGGGGGCAGGGAGTGCAATACTGTTTACACCAACTTTGGGCTGGGTGCCTGTTCCAGCCTTGCCAATTGCTTGAGTCTATAGTGGGGTGTGGCAAGGAGTGTTTTCAGTGCACAGCCAGTTTGTTTGGTAATCTAGCTGGCTCATCGCAATGTACTTGGTTACCATGTCAGATCTCCCAATATGGGATACATTGGTTTCCTGTACTATGTCTCTATGACTCCCTAAACCAGACACACTTTGATTTAATGTCTTGTATGCGTCTTATATGGGTTGCATATCCATTCTCCCACTGATCCTCACACTGGCCAAACTAATAAACAAAGGAACTTCTTAGGGACACATAAGATAAACATTTATTTTTGTAAATGCGTTTTAAGATTTTCATAAGACACAAACCAATGGAATAGAAAGTGGCTTGCAGATTCATAGTTCTGATTAATGCGTTGAAGCTAATTCGATCTAGTATGAGAAAAGTAGTATATTTCTCAGAATAATTGCAACTGAATGTAGATGGTATAGATGTAGTCTCAAGCATACAGCTGATCAGTCCAGGAAAGTGCTTGGATTAACCAATACCTCTTGAAGGGATGGATAGCTCAGTAGGCTGTTTCCATGTCTCATGCTCATAGCCTCTATCTGGATATAAAGAAATCGATACCAGCAACTGATTTACTGGAGGCATGTTTACTGTCTGCCAGTGACCAGTTTTTAATTTGGTCATAGTGTGGGCTAAACTTATGCTTTCTTATGGAATTCAGTCTAGAGTTGGCTCAGTGCCTGCAGTTTGCCAGATTTTGGTAAAATTCTGGTAGCTGGTCCTATTTGTACTGGGATAACCTTTGCCATCACAGGAGGTTGCAGGGACCTGACTAAAACTTTTATACTTTAGATTGTGTGGCTGCTTTACAACCTCAGATGTCCTTTAGGCCGCAAAACCACCAGATCACTGAAAGTTAGAACAGTCAGCAATTCCATCTGGAAAGATCCCTCCAAATTAAACTCTTTGCCCCAGACTTGCTAAGGGTCTGCTTTCTGGGGCCATTCGGTACGGTGGTCAAGGGTTGCGTCCTCTCCTCAATATAATCCTTTACATTTTGTACATTTTACGGTCTGAACATTGTGCCTGGCTGCACCTGACACATCAGTTTGAATGTAGTGAGAATATAAATGTTGACTTTAGAAAGGGCAGAGCAAGTAAAGTACGCTTCCAATGCTTGCTTTTATTTGTTAGCGTCCCATAAATGACATCTTAATTTTTGCTCTTTCTGTGAAGGTGTTGCTGCATTAATGGGACTTTTAACCTCCCCACTCCTTAATAAATAACTGAGCACAGTATTTAAACTTTGTGTAGGATATTATTGTAAAACTGGGACAATTTAATCCCTGCACTCTTCACAAAATTTAAATAATCTGTCCTTTTATATAACTCGGGGGTGTTTAGTGACCTGTCTCACGTTCTGCACAATGCAAAGCTTTATTCACTAAATGGTCAATGATCTGGAATTCAACAGGGAATGCAAGTTTTAGGCTAGAGTAGCCAGATTGAAAATTCTCCATCTCTACTAAACTTTGCAATTCCCTGGTGAATTCCAGCCAGTTCATGGTTTATTGAATGCATGTCTCAGCAGGATTTGACATCTCTGATCTCTTTAGAATAATTTTGTAATTCATACAATCTGGGGTTTTACACTCCAAAAGCCACTAATGCACATTGGCAAGCCTCGAATGTGATGTAATATTATAGAATGCCAACGTATTGTGCAGCACTTTACAAATATTGAAAGATAAAAAGAAGGCCCCTTGCACACAATCTAGATCTGTTTTCTTAATTTGCTTTTAGGGATGGTAGCCAGATTCTAAACTAGTGTTAAGGTTTCATGCCCAGATGTATGTAAAATGAGTGGGGAACCATCATAGGCTGAGCAATTACAAAGTGTTAGAATGATGGAAGGGTCTCATACATGGAACACATGTGGATTGGGAATTAGAAATAAAAATACAATACATGGAAAAATGGCTACAGAATAATTCTGAACGTTAGACTGGAGTGATCTCCCAGCTAGATGTAGCTATCTAGCAATATAGAGGCTGCATATGGTGTAATATAGCATGGGGCCAATAAGGTTCTCTCCTTCTAATCCTGGTCCACTTTCATGTAGACTTGTGTAAATGCATTCACTATTAAACTATATTGCACATTTTGCAGTTTCCTTGTTTTACACATCCTAAAGTTACTGAAAATATGAAGACCTGTTTAAGTAGATATACCCCTGTTGGAGAGACGAGCCTGAATTTCTAGTATTGGCCCCATACTATATTACACCATATGCAGTCTCTCTATATTGCTATATCTCCATCTATAGCTGGGAGATACTCCAGTCAAAATTATTCTTTAGCCCTTTTTCCACATTGTATTTTTTTCCTTGCTACATTCCCAATTCCCATGGGTTTTATGTACAACACCCTTCTATCGTTATTTATTTGTATATAAAATTAGTAACTTGGCCTTACTGGGAATTAAATCTGCAGCCTTGATGTTTGAATAGGTACTGGCAGTGGTGCAGTAATGGCCTGTACTAGGGTTAGGATGATCATCAGTTGCACCGTTTTATTAGAGCTGATATTCAGCATTTTACTGATCAATATCCGCATTGTAGTTACCGATATTACAAATAATTTGCCTCTCCCAATTACCACACTCTGCCTTCTGCATCCAGAAACTCTAGCGGTCAGCAAATGATGCGTTGTGACCTCATGTCACACCTTTTTGTGAGTTCCTGCATGTGAAGCTCAGATGGAGGGAGGTGAGACTGTGAATAATCTAGTGGAATGTACTGGACTGGCTGACAGTGATAGGAGTGTGTAATGTACTGGACTGGCTGACCATTCGATTAGTGGGTTATTTCAAACTGTTGGATTGCTGCAGAGGATTACTCCCACCGTTATTGTAGACCAATATTCCCCCATAATCTGCCCAGAACGATAATAAATATCCCTTGCTGAAAGTGACTTGTTAATGAGCTCACAGTGCCTCTAGGCCAGCGAGGGCAATCTCTGGCACTGCAACTATTGTGAACTACAGTTCCCATAAGGTTCCACATAGCTGAACTTGGGTAGTGATTTATTTTCTTGACTAGTACTGTTTTACTTTCTTGTTATTTTAAGGTTTTTCTGGCTGTGTCTCCAAGTGAAACCTAACCTGTAGAATGCCCTCTGTCTGTAATACCTGGGTGCAGCTGATTTTTAAAGCAGGGGTGGGGACACAGCCTCTCTCCATGTACAGACATGTTGCTGTTCTATCGCTCGCCTCTTATCTGTCAGACAGGTAAAACACACTCTGTAATCACACCTGATCAGCCTGTCGTCCCAGGTTCCAAGCTCACTGCAGCCATATTAGTATCTCGCCCATACTGTAACACTAAATGAAAATAAAGACAAGTGGTGCTAATCTGTCTGTAGGCCTGCTAGGGTGTCTGAGCTTGTTTTGGACGTAGAAGGCTCGTTACACTATGCAACATCCTATGTAACAGAATAGTTATCCTCCGTTTTATTGTTTCAGTTCCTGTATCTCCATAGTGAATCAGTCTCCTGTGTGGATGTAAAATCTTATCCATCAATCCCTTCCATTATTAATCAGAGATTGGAAGCTTGTTTGAATAGGGCCTTCTTTACCGCTAGTTTCATATTCTGAATGTCCAATATCTATCAGTTATCCCCGTGCTATAGCATATGTAAGCGCAATAAAATAGTACAGGAATTATGGCGAGGGAGCGTGCTAGTTTTTCAGGTCCTGCCAGATCATCTTGGCATCTGATTGAGGCGACTGTGCTGTCTGTCCAGTCAGAAAAATGTGACCGTGATGGCAGTGTGTAACCTCATATCTCCTGACAGCAGTAAATAGAGCTGAAACTGGGGGCTGGGAGTATACCATCTTCTGCCATGCCCTGGTAGCCTGGGAAATGGCTTTCTGCCTGATAGTGGGCTCAGATGAAGTAGAAGTAATTCTCTTGCACAGATGAATTTGAAGTTCTGTGCTGTCTGTAAAATGCCTTGTAGCAGCCGTCACATGGAGTGAATGAGGCCTGCTGCACCTGTTGTGGACTCTGTTAGCAGGGCTGTGATCCTGCACCCGGGCGGTGGTGGCAATGCTGAACTATGGGGCCAGAGTGACTTAGTGCTCTGGAATGGCCAAACATTACATGTCCAGGTGTCTGTTTGCAATGCAAATCCTGAAGCCGCCTTCTGCCAGGCCATCCTTATTTTATTCCTGCCCAGTGACAGGCAAGGCCCTGCCCTTGTCCTGTTTCAGGCATGCTAATAGTTTATCATCCACCTCCCCCACCCGTCCTTCATCCTGTCTCTGCAGACTGCTCTCATCTGGGAAGGGACTGCTTGTGATTCGGATGTCCTGAGCTTCCTTGTTTTAGGACTCTCATAAACACACTGATTGCTTTCAATGGCCTCTCAGCACTCTTCTTTGCCACTTATTAAACAAGTGATGTCATCATCACAGATATCTCTAAACGTGTCCTGCTCACTTTATATTTAAAACCCTGAACAGTTAACAAAATTTCCAGCACTCGCCCCAAAAACTGGCTAAATGGCAGCCCCCACCGCTGTCTGTAATGTACACAATAGAATACACAAACTTTAAATGGGGTCACCAGAATTGGGCTCAGACTGCTTCCGTGCTGCTCAGTGGAAGGAGTCGGTGTTGGCTTGGCAAGTTTCTGAGCTGCAGAGACGTGAAGTATGTTTGGGTTGGGATTTTACTCCGGTTTCCTTCAAATACTCCATGTACACATTTCCTGCTGCTGCTACCATGTAAGATCAAGCTATGGAAATTCTCTTCATTCTTTACCCTTATTAGGCATTTGTAAACTTTTGAAGTTTTTGTTGAGGAAATTCTTTCCCGTGTTGATATCACCCGTGTTTATTCACACACGTGTTGTATGCAGAAGACTGCTTCCCCATCTTTATTAATGCTTTCCTTGAACCTGCCATGGCATTAACACAGGGTCTCAAAGGTTTCCAAAATCCGTGCCAAATATGGAGCGTCTGGAGTGCCTTCCCATACCCCCCTCAATGCTTGTCTAAACTTAGCAGCTGTGGAATTTCTACTGCTTAAAAATGGATTATGCACAAAATAACGAAACTGAAGTGCAGGACTGCTGAATGCAGTTGTCTGTGCAAATGAAAGTTGGAGGAATTATTGCCACGCAGGGCTGCCCTACGTGTTAGGAACTGACTTGACCAGGCTGAACTTGTAACAATTTCCCAGAGCAGCAAAATGCTGTAAGCTGATGCTCTCAGTGCATTGGCCTCAGCAACTAGGCTTGAGAGAGGGTTTGGGTATCGCTCATTGTGATCAGTCTGACCGCATAGGTTGCAAACGGCTCAAGGAGCAGCCACTAGTTTTTTCCCTACCTACAGGGCAGTAATAAAGGGCTATAAATATTTTATGATTTAAAATATTCCGATCATTTAATTTTCTGAGCACGGCTCACTGCCCTCAGTGGCTTGGCTACACTTGTATTCAAAAGATTAGTACAGGTGTGTTAGACCAGGGATTCAATGGACTACTTTAGTTGCTACTGGCTTGTCCATGGCGTGCGGTATAAAACACGGAATATTTAGTCATGACTCCTGAGCTTTGGGTTTTCCCTTCTAGCAGTTGTACTATTGTAAGACCTCTGTAAAAGGCTGTGCTTTGTTCCATCCTCAGAATAAGGGTGGATGTCCACACCCGCTCAGTCTCTATTGATGCTAAGGGCCAAAGTGCTCCTATGTAATTGCAATGATAGCAGTTACCTAATACCATATTAGCCAAGTCTGTGTAACCTGGCAATAGTGAAACATTCCAGACTTATTGCCAAACTTTGTGAAACTTCCTGCCTTGTAACTGCTTACACTGCGCTCTCCGGCCATCTTAGGCTTGGTATGGCTGCATCCAGGCCTCACATGTCCTGTTATATCGAACGCACAGCTCTGGATCAGTATTGGGGGGGTGGGGTTGAAGTGCTCTCCTCTTATATCCAAATCCCATGCTGTAAAATGTCAACAATTCTTTTTACTCAGATTGAATTGTTTTTTCAAACTCCCACAATATGAACCATTATATCCTTTCTACTCCATGTCAGTTGCAATCTATAAATCCAGTTTGCCTTATAATAAATCTTTGATATCTAATCTCAGTTGAACCAGGGATATAATTCTCTACTCTTAGGGATGCTGTAATTTGCTATAAAAGGCCCACTGCAAGAATATGGTGGCTAAGTATGGCACGTTGGCTATTTCTGAACAATGTGACGTTGAGCAGTAAAAATTGTGGTGGGTAGGCTATACCTAGATGTTTCCACGGTTACTCAGAGCCCAGTGGCATGCTTCTAGCCTTGCATTTTGTCTGTTATGTAGACGTTTCTGTAAATGCATTCAAAACATGTGGAACTTCTAGAGGAGGTTTATGAATGTGTTTCAGAGTATTCAATGTCCTTTCAGTAACTAAGCAATGACCCTGAACAGGAATTTCAGTGGGACTGACAGCCTGGCATGTGCTGTCGTGCTTAAAACCTCAGAAATCTGACTGTGGAAGAATATTTTCCCTCTCCTGTGTGGCGGGTAATTTGTGTAGCTTGACAGGCTTTCTGCTCCTTGTACCCACATTCCATGATGGAGCTTTAGATTCGCTGTTCAGCATAAAATGCTTCTTTTAGCCCAGAGAAAATGCTTTAGATTTGACTTTAACTCTTGCTCTGCATGCCAGTCCCGGAAACTCTATGCTTGGCAGGAAATCTTTCTGATAGAGTATCAGTTCCTGTAAGATTACTGCGCGCACTCTTACTGAAAAGTGTTTGCTTGTCACAGTAATCTGATATAGACCTTCTACGGTGCTATTTATTCCCCTTCGGGCTGCTAAGTGGTTAACTGGCTGTGTGGGAGCCAGCCTTTTGTATACAACTTCTGTTAAAGCAGTTGTGTTGTAACATTGTCCTTCGTTCTCTGGCCGCCTTCCTGTCCGATGTCAGCTTGTTTCACTGTTTAAAATTCCTGATGTCGTGAAAGGTTTAGTTGGATATTTATTGCTTGATGTGCGGAGTTACTGGATCCTGTCCCAGTCAGGAAATGCTCAGTCTATCTGCCTTACTGTGCCTTCCTCTGCTTGTTCTGTAGAGTCTCATTAACTCCTAAATCTGAGCAGAGCCATACTTCATTGGCCACCAAAAGGTTACTGATGGCACATAAACTTTGCCAGGCTGATTAATATGATTGATTTTCTAAACATGGCTATTTTTAGATAAGCGCACATGCCTGGGCATAGGCATACCTCCTATAATGTCACCTGGTGATTCTTTCAATGGAAAGATGTTCTGTGAGGGCGTTGGATAATCCCGTAACCTGGAGTAGTGACCTGCTGCCATCTGCCCTGCTTTCTAAATGTAGGAGTCGCACCTAGATTTATGGCTTTTCTAGTGTTTGTGGACCTGTGACCTGGAAGCAACGTTTCATTAGAGCGTGGGATGCTTCTTGTCAGAATGTGGTTTACTCTAATCTAATCCATTTTGACCTCTTCCTTGGTTTTTCATTTAACGGCTGCCGTTACTGGCCTTAATTAGTGTTCTGTGTATATATATCCCAGGATACAGAGAGCTCGTATGTACTGAATGGGACCTTAAACAGAAGTGTTATATGGTCTCTCTACATGTGCTGTACACATTCTTTACATCTCAATGCAGAGGATTGTACTCTGAAGCTTTTGTGTGTATTGCAACTTGACTCCTGCAGATACTAGTTCACCCTCTCTGTCCATTTTCCCCCCTTATACAAGCTTTGTTTGAGTAATGGACTGGTAAATGTTCTAAGTCCTCCACGTTTTTGGTGTCACATGTCTCACAATTCAGTAAGCCAATTTGTTACAAAAACCTTGAACTCTGTTAAATCTTTCTACCAAGCCAGCCATGCATAATGTTCTCTCTCAGCCCCTCTGAACACCCTGTTTCCCCCGCCACCCCCTCTTTTTTTAGCTTCTGGGACTTTTGTCAGCTACAGATGCACAGAAGGTGAGGAGAATCACATTTTGATGTGATTCCAGTGTTAAGAGCTCTCTCTGCTTATGGAGTGACGGTGTAAATGCCCCCTAACCATTTTAAATATTGCCCTTAGTCATCGCAAGGTAGTATAGAACAGCTTCTGCTCAGTGACAGGAAATTTAAACTTTTCCCCTGGGTTTCTGGCAATATAACTGGTTCTTAATGGGTTAAACGCTGAGATCCTGCCCTATTAATAATGGGGAGACTGTAGCTTCCTTTTATAGAGGTGCCTGCAGCTATACATTTTTGTATATTTATTAGTAAACTTGCTGCTATTCTATTACCCAGTGTGTGGATTTCAGCGGGTGTTAGCATTAAAGAAACAAAACCAGTCATGCTGACCCATCAGAACTAAGCCTTCACACAAACCTTTCTTTCAAAAGGCCCTGTGCCATCATCTCTAGGGCATTCTCTGACCAGACTGAACCAAGCTGCATGGGCTGTATCATCAAAGATATGGAAAGTGGGTATCGCTGTGTCCTTAAGATTAGGAGCTTTGTAACAGCCCAGTTTTCCCCCTAACCCCCAGTTTACACTTCCATGGGAATTCTGGCCAGATGAATAGCTGATTAAAGGACCAGCCTATGTCACATTCCTCATGGCTGAGATAATGGCAGGCCCGATGATTGGCCAGTGGCAGGGGCGGAGCCACTCATTCAGAACTCTACCTGACATGGCATCTTGCAGGAGTGGCGGCAGGGGAGACATTACTGGGCTACAGGCACAATGTGATTCTCCCCTATCCTAGTCTATTTAATGGACACTAATTGCTTCCGTTTGGCCTTTAATTAGCAGCTGTCTACAGCACTGTTTAATGATAGAACTATCCACATGACAATGGAGTATAGCTGATCTAAATGCAGATAGCCATGCATACTCTTAATGAGGGCTGAATGGAGATCAGATGCTGTTTAGGGACAGGCTGGAAAAGGTGTGTAATCTATTAAACATCTCAAAACAGTTTTCCTAATACTCTGCAATCCTCTTGCATATCGTCAGGCACTGCTCTTAGGATAATTTATACGCAGGGCCCGTTCTTTCCGGAGCCCTGATTGTACTGTGCATTGACTGAGTAGCCAGTTAGACAGTAAAAAGGGTCTGTTGGGTGTGTCTGTGTGTTTGCATTAGTTTAGCAGGCAAGTCTTTGCATACATCAACCTGGGCGTGTGCAGAAGAGAATGCTGGTTATTCCTGCAGCATTCCTCAGGTACTATACTCACCTGTATGCTCTCAAGGACACCACCTTACCAGTGCTGTATTGCATATCTCACACCATGACGTGGAAGGTGTTGGAATGCAAGGAATTGGGCTATTTACGTGGATTTAATGGGCTAGGCTCAGTGATGAGCAGGTAAAACAATAGAAACTTCTAAATTGTGGGTGAAAGAACTTGCCAGCATAGTGTGAGTAACCTCATCCACCCCATGTGAACAGGTGTTCTTTAAAAATGTCCTCATTCCTTCATGTTAATCCAGGTGTAGCAATAGAGGAAACACTAGGAACAGGTGTGATCGTAGAGGCCGGAGGCCCCCTAGTGGCCATATAAGTGCCAACAGCAGGTGTGTCACTACTACAGTTATAACCTCATTGCTTGTACGTCTTGTGTCTGGAGTTGCTGTTTTGCATGCATGTTTTTGTGATAATTCACCTGTGTGTGTGTGTGATGCATGCACTGTTGAGAAGTACAAATGAAAGCCCCATCTATTATCTGACACTGAATAAATGGAGTACACAGGGGCGAGCTGCTGTGAGTCTAGCAATCAGGAAATGAGCCAGACCTGTTCTAGCTTTTAAGCGGACTTCTCATTTGTGCTCTGAAAACCTTTGGGCTGGCTGGTGTCATGAGCAACACAGAAACCCTTCCACACACTTTCTGAACACATTTGTACAATAAAGCTTCACATTCTTGTGAGTCATTACTGTTAGAGAGCTGTATGAGCACCTTACTAACTGGCCAATACATCTGGGTATTCATAGGAAACCTTCTGGCCACTATTGCAGTTACTGAATATTTCCAACTCTATGATTTTGGCATAAAACTTGCAGTTTTGTCTGTTTTCCACAATTCAGTTTAGTGAATAACCATGTGATGCTGGATTTCATGCGGTCGTCACTTTATTTTTTTTGAGCTCCTTATCCATGTGGGGTGACACTGTGTCAGCTTTGACTTTTCATTCTCCCCACAGACATTCACTGCTTGGTGTAACTCCCACTTACGCAAGGCTGGCACTCAGATAGAAGACATCGATGAGGATTTTCGTGATGGGTTGAAGCTCATGCTTCTGCTGGAAGTCATTTCAGGTGAACGGAGTAGTTGGTAAAAAGGGCATGGAGCACAGAAGTGACATGCTCAGTTTATAAATCTGGGGAACTTTTTACAAATGTACTTTATATATTGTAGGGGCACGTCTTCCAAAGCCAGAGCGAGGGAAAATGAGGGTTCACAAGATTAATAACGTTAACAAGGCCTTGGACTTCATCGCAAGCAAAGGTGTGAAGCTGGTGTCTATTGGGGCAGAAGGTGAGTTGGCATAGCCTGCTTAAGTGATGGACAGGTTGCCTCTATATTCAGATTGGAAATGTGTACCTCTGGGAAGGAGTTTGTCCGTGTGCGGCTGAGGGTGTTACTCTACGTAGACTGCTGTGAGGAACCATTTGTATCTGCTGGGAAAGGCACACTATAGAGGATGGGAAACCTTTATCTGTATCTCAATCCAGTAAATTACTTGCAATAAAGAATATGGAGGCAGAATCTGCTTATCATAAAAAAAATCAAACCTCGAACTACATTTTTTACTCCTAAGCTCAACCAGCACTAGAAGTGTTAATGGAGTACTCTAAGCACCGAAAGCACTACATCTTAAATGGACACTATATGCATTGTAACCACTTCATGTCATTGAAATGGTTATAGGGTCTTGAGTTCCCTGGCACTGTCCTTCTGTTAAGTGATTGCTGAGCTGCTTGAAATAGTTTTACTTAATGCAGGGACGATGCCTAGGGACTCCAGGCACTATAACCAACACTAGTGAATTGACATGGCAGTGGCTGCTGGTTTGTAAGATTTGATGGATTTGATATTTTTCTGTCTATAGATGGTCCTCTCACAAGCAGTGAGCCCTTCAATCATTGTACTTTGCTCTCTTTTTAGAAATCGTTGATGGCAATTCAAAGATGACTCTAGGAATGATCTGGACAATTATTCTTCGTTTTGCAATTCAAGATATCTCTGTTGAAGGTATGTGTAAAATTAGACAACACTGTGCTCCTGCTCCCTCTCCCCACCTGAAAAAAAACTCTTATTTTGCTTAAATTCTCTTTTTTCAGAGACCTCTGCAAAGGAAGGCTTGCTGCTGTGGTGCCAGAGGAAGACTGCCCCATACAAGAATGTCAATGTCCAGAACTTCCACATAAGGTAAACCACGTTGTACATTGGCCTTTAACTGTCATGATTTCTCACACCCTGTATTTACCATAACCATTGCATTACAGCTGGAAGGATGGATTGGCTTTCAATGCATTGATCCACAGACATCGGCCTGAACTGATAGAATACGATAAACTCAGAAAGGTAAGCCTCAGCGTCTTCTTCCACTGACTGCTGGTGGCCCATTCTGCTGCCCCCTGACTGCTTCCTGTTTTGTCGTTTCCTTCTCTAGGATGACCCAGTTACCAATCTGAACAATGCCTTTGAAGTGGCTGAGAAGTATCTTGATATCCCCAAGATGTTGGATGCTGAAGGTGAGCAGTGATCGTTGTGATCTTGACACTGATTTCATTGAGCAGGTCTGGAGGCCACAAAATGACTTATGAATGTGATTCATGGAACCTCTACACCTCCTGGATTAACTGCTGATCCCCTTGCAGATGCAAACGGGAGAATTGCCAATTTTAGTTTGAATAGAAAATCTATGTATCTACTTTTTTAGATTCCAACCCATCTACACACTGCATACTCCTTGCTCTTATTTCATCTCCTCAGCGTGCTCTGCAGGTAGGAATACAAAAAACAAGCCTGTTTTTAGAGCACGGTGCATATTGATAATGAGTATCATGGGTGTCTCTTAAGATCAACCCATGTAACCCGTAATTGACTCTATTTGCAAAATCATTTAAGTCTCTGAATACTGCAAAGACTCTGCTCAGGTCCCGAGATCAGTCTTGTGATTTTCCTGAATAACATTGCAATGGGGATCACCTTCCTCTGTTTTCCATGTCTCAATATATCTCCTTCATTTCCAGACATTGTCAACACCGCTCGTCCTGATGAGAAGGCAATCATGACCTATGTGTCTTCTTTCTACCACGCCTTCTCTGGAGCCCAGAAGGTAGCGTTCTGGGGTGGCCTGCAGTGCCTTCACCCGTCTCCTCTGTCCTTCGCATGTCTCACCTCCTGCTTCTCTTACAGCTGCCTGGCATGCTCTCAGCTCGCTGTGTGTCTGGACTCCTGAGTGGGGGTCCTCAGTGTGTTTACTAAACCTTCCTCCCCACCCATGTTTTTTGGGAAGAGTCACTAGCTACTTCATAACCCCCCTCACTTTTCCTGACACAGACTGAGATTTGAGAGGTGCAAATCTGGGATTGGATGCCCCTCCTCTGCCTCCTGGCTTACACTGTTCCCTCTCACTCTGCCTTTGTCTTTTTTTTTCCTCTCTCCTTTTCTCTGTGCAGACATAGTAGGCACTCTCAGGCCTGATGAGAAGGCCATAATGACCTACGTTTCCTGCTTCTACCACGCTTTCTCTGGGGCTCTGAAGGTGAGCTGCGGCTTTCAGCATCTTATGGCCCAAGTGCTGTTTCTCTTTGATCATTCACTGGATTGCTCCCTTAATAACATCCTATACTGATGGAGGAATAAAGCCCTTCAGTGATTTATCCTCTCTGTAAAATCGCTCCACGTATTTACTATGCATCTTGGCAGCAAATGAAGGCACCCCCTTCTCCCCAAACCCTATGATTCTTTTTTTCCAGACTATACCCCTGTATATAAATCAAGGCAGTAAAACTTTTAGTATAGAAAAAGCATTTCTCTATAGAAAATGCTCATGAAGTGTTGCTGCTTCGCACTTATGAGGCAATAGTAAATGTCGGGACTGAAGTTTGAGCTGGTCAGGCTATTAACCAATCACAGCTGTAAAAATCTGCTTATTCATATTGAGTCTAGTCTTGGCCAATCTCTTTCTTCATCCTCACCACAGCAGCACCCGTGATGACTTGTGCAGTAAAAGCCACATAATATATTGTATCCAGTTTTGCAATGTGCAGCACCAGGTTTCTGTGCACAGGCCCCCGTATCTCAGCCTTCAATCCAAAGGGGCTGGCTGCAAGATTTCCCCCAGCAGAGGCGTAATTAAAGAGTGCATCAAGGGATGAATAAGCGCAATATATTTAATAGAAGGCTCTTCGTGTAGGTTTGAGGGTTTACTTGGAATGTATTGGTGCTACGGTTAAACTGTCTGCCTGTCCTTGTAATATGTTCCTTGATTAGAGAAGCAAATGTGTGCAATGCAACCTGCAATGGGTATACTGCTTTGCTCTTCTCAGTGGCTTTGGATGGCGAACAGTATTCTTAGCTCCTTTATCTTGGTCTGTTTGGTGCATTTTGTGAATTTCTTATCATGGTTCTTCTGTGTAGGCCGAGACTGCAGCTAACAGGATCCGCAAGGTACTAGCTGTGAATCAGGAGAATGAGCACCTGATGGAGGATTACGAGAAGCTGGCTAGTGATGTGAGTCTATCCTTAGCACTTTAAAATCTCCGGATAACCGATGCTCTATTCACAGATTAATTTATATTCTCTACATGAATAAGGGACAGTTGGCACAGGCCTAGTTTAAAGATTTTATTAAATGGTTTGCCAAAAGAAAAGGAAGAAAAAAACTCAGCAGAATAATCTTCATTTGTTACTTTGCTGTTATCTGCCACAAAGCCCTCCCCTCCTATTTAGTGTAGATTTACAGCATCTTATCAATGCGAGGAACCCCCTCACCCACCTGAAGCAATATTTTCTGAACACTTCCGGCCCTTTAAGTGAAATATTGGGCTTCCTGACTTGTTACCCTGTACTGTACTCACCTAATGCAGTTAGCAGTTTGTGCTTGGTCTCAGACATACTCTCAAGTAGAATAGTGGCAGACACAAGTAGCCCATGACCTGTGTGCCTTGAAGATTAGAGCAGCATCAGATCTGTTTCAAGATCAGGGGTCAGGTTTGGGGGATGTGCAGTATTGGATTCCTTGTGATTGAGTTTAGTAATCCTGTAATTTGCCCCTTTTAGCTTCTTGAATGGATCCGTCGCACAATTCCTTGGCTGGAAGACCGCGTGCCTGAGAAGACAATGCAGGACATGCAGCAAAAACTGGAGGATTTCCGTGAATATCGCCGTGTGCACAAACCTCCCAAAGTACAAGAGAAATGCCAGCTGGAGATCAACTTCAACACCCTGCAGACCAAACTGAGACTTAGCAATCGCCCTGCATTCATGCCGTCAGAAGGCAAGATGGTGTCGGTGAGGAATTGACACAAGTAGCAGGGTAGCAATGCCAATATGCGGCTTGCTAATTTTCCATACATGTAAACCGCATGTTTGCCAATCCTTCTCCCTTGTCTTCTTCCTCCACAGGACATTAATAATGGCTGGCAGCATTTGGAGCAAGCTGAGAAAGGCTATGAGGAATGGCTTTTAAATGAGGTTCGCCGATTGGAGAGACTTGAACATTTGGCTGTGAAGTTTCATCAAAAAGCAACAATTCATGAAAGCTGGACCGATGGTAAGAGGTGGAGTTTGCTTCTTGGGGCCCGGAAAAACTGGGCTTTAAATAGACTCTCCATGAACATTGCTGTAAAGGTTTTATGTGTGAGGTACTGACGAAGATTCCCAGAATTCACTGCTAAGAGTCTAACTTGCTTGAAAGCGTGCTAGCCAGGCCTAACATTCTTCATTCACGAAGGAAAATGGCAACATCTGGACCAGATTTGCAATATAAAGTCGATGCTGTAAAGTTTGGAATATATAACTGTATTTTCATACTGGTGGACACTAATGGGGTTTAGCCAATGGGTAATTTAAAAGGATTGTGTCATGACCAGTATATGGCTCCTACTTTTCATATATTTATTGTAGCTTTGTACCAGGCTAATAGTGAATTAGATAGCACAGTACATCTTGGGTGTGAGACACCTGTGGTTAAGTAGAGTGAAAAAGATAAGTTTGTTTGCGATAGGCATCCAGCAGTGGCCACTTAAGACTTTCTTGCACTGCATTTCAAGACATTGTCCTAGTTTGTGCTTTCAAAATATTTACTGAATGTAGCGACTTTTTACTGATGATCCACTAAACTGGAAAAGCATTGGGGGTTTTCATTAGTGCACCCATTAAACAGAAGAGGACCAGAACTGTAAGAATAATGTTCAGACCGGTCGTCTAGTCACATGTAACCTCTGAATGCATTAATTTTAGAGATGGGACCATCTAGTAGGAGATATAAAAGTGCTTTTTCTCGGCTCATTCTCTGCAGGTAAGGAGGCTATGCTAAAGCAGAAGGATTATGAGAGTGCCACCCTAGCTGACATCAAGGCTCTCATTCGCAAACACGAGGCTTTTGAGAGCGACTTGGCTGCGCACCAGGACAGAGTGGAACAAATTGCTGCTATTGCACAGGAGCTGAAGTGAGTAGTGTGAAGGATATTTTAACGGTCACATTTGTCAGGTTTTCCTGGCACACTAGCTTCCCCCTCCATCAAGGCATTGTGACGTTTGGAAAACAAGATCCTTGTTACCATTAATCTTTGCTACTGTGAACACTTGCCTGCTCTTCTTTATATACACTGAGACAGTTTTCATTTTTGTTTGCTGCAGATTTTACAAGTATAGTACATACACATAGTACACATTTCTCTAACAAGCTGACATTACAATATACGTCAGTTTGTTTGTTTTTTTATTTTTATTTTTTGTTTTTTTTTTGCCCTGTAACATATGTTACACTCCAGATGTGATGGACTACATCTCTCCTGAAGCTTTACCAGCATTATGGCTGTAAGAAAATTACTGGAGCTTGAGTCCACATCTGGAGTGCCGACATTTGCCTATTCCTGTAACTTGCTGGGATTTGAGCTTTTCACATTCTTTCTATTTTGTGTATTAAGAATGGGGGAAATTCATTAAAATGTTTAACTTTTTGCATTTCTACACGTCCATTTCACAGCTAGGCTAAACCTTCCTCATACTGTGGCGACAGTGAGGAATGAAGCCAGGGTCAAGTGAAACTCTGTTAAATGGTTTGAAAATAGTTTGCCAATGGGAGGCAAGATAATGCCTGATTGCCAGACTCCATTCCTTTGTGATGACGTTTTGGGTTCAGGGTGACCCTTTAAATATAGGGAATTGTAAACCTGTTAAAATCTGGGAAATTACAGTTTGCTTTTAAATTCCAAGGCCTGTTTAACTACCCCCATCCCAGGAGTTCTGTATTAGATGTGTAGAGGGATATGGGAGTTGAAAGTAAGCTGTGTACTGAGGAGACTTGTTAATTCAATGAAGAAGAATACTTCCAATGACTGCATGTTTTTTTTCCACACAGCGAGCTTGATTATTATGACTCTCCCAACGTGAATGCTCGCTGTCAGAAAATTTGTGACCAGTGGGATGTTTTGGGATCGTTGACGCACACAAGAAGAGAAGCTCTGGAGGTGAGAATGTGTCTTGGTGACCTAAGGAAGAATTTGTTATTCATGCAGTGTTTTGGTTTGAGGAAAATATTTAGCTCCATGTACGATGGTTTGTTTTGATGCGATATTCTTGTAGTATAACACATGTGACGCTTTCACATGACTTTAGAATGCAATAAAAACTGGTATATGGTGTAAAAAAAAAAAACAGGCGACTCTAGGCATGCACATTACCTGCTTCATTGAGTGGTGGGGTTAAAAAGCACTTCGCGCTACACTAAATTTTTTTTGTTTTTCTTCTAATATAAAGCCACCATCAGGGGAATTTTAAAAATGGGGAGTCTTGACGTACCCTGAACTATTTGGATTAAAAACACAATATAGCAGAGACCTCTATGAAACCGCAGTACTAATTTGGAAGTCTCTTCAGTAACATGATTCTTGTATCAGACAAAAGCAGAATTTAATAAAGAAACATTTATTATTATCTAAAATCGTAACAGTGCATCCAAATATCAGTCAAATTACACAATTTTAGACAGAATATAAAGGAAGAAATAAACAAACAAAAAAATCTAAATACTTCAGTGTACTATATATGATATATATTTCATACACAATGCCTCCTAATCAAATTGCATCTACAAACACTTCCCGAAATTTTAAGTAAAATGACCCTTCATTGAACCTGAAATTTAAATTGATACATAAAGTGGTGTGTTTCTCAATCTCTGGGTCCTATCTGATACCACCTCAGCCTTAGAACCAGACACCAATTGTAAATTCCTCCGAACAATGTAAGTAAAATGCAGTTTAATGTTTGTTTCTATCTTATTGTAGCAAACAGAAAAGCAATTGGAAGCCATCGACCAGCTGTACCTGGAGTATGCCAAGAGAGCAGCGCCCTTTAACAACTGGATGGAAGGGGCCATGGAAGATCTTCAGGACATGTTCATTGTGCACACCATTGAAGAGATTGAGGTGATGACATGCTAACCATGTACTTGTTTTGTTTTCCCACACACTGATTGTATGCACTAAAATTGTTAATTAACAATTAACCAGAGAATTGAAAATTGTCTAAAATAGCAGTTAAACCACTGCAAAATTATTTTGAATTGCTCAGAAGCGGCTCTTGGTTTCAATGTGAATGTAAACTTTCTTCCATTTTGATCCTCAGGGTCTCATTACAGCCCATGAGCAGTTCAAGTCCACTCTTCCAGATGCTGACCGTGAGAGAGAGGCTATCCTTGGCATCCAGAATGAAGCCCAGAAGATTGCAGATTACAACCATATCAAGCTTGCCAGTGGGAATCCTTACACCGCGGTCACACCGCAGACTATCAACTCAAAGTGGGAAAAGGTAACTGCAAGAGGGTTCCACATGCTTGACAAAACACCCTCCATTTCAAGATTTTACCACATGTTCCTTTCTTCAGGTTCAGCAGCTTGTCCCAAGGAGAGATATTGCTTTGAAGACCGAGCAAGACAAGCAACAGTCAAATGAGCGCTTGCGTCTCCAGTTTGCAAACCAGGCCAACGTAGTGGGACCATGGCTACAGTCCAAAATGGAGGTAAATGCAGCACTTTTTTCAGCTTTTATTTTTGAAGATCCATATCACTAGTTGTATTTTGTTCTGCGATAATTTTACAAATCTGAATTGTACATATTAATGTTCTATTAAAATGACTGTAAATCTTCATTAAACCTCTTTATCTAGTTTCATTCATTTATTAAGCAAATGTATTTTACTGTGCGTGTTCCCTCCATGACATCTGCTCATTTTACCAGTATTGGAACTATAATCCAAGTTGTCTTAAAAGGAACAAATAATCAGAATTCTCTGCTTTAGACAAATATTTAGCAATTCTGGTTTTTACAGAAACTGACTAGCATCATTAATTTATCAGTCCTGGATGAGGAATGGCTCACTGTTATATGCTTGTTTTATAATGTAGTACTCGATTCTAAAGAGCTGTGTCGTGGAACCTGCCTGCTTGGTGCACTCTGCTCGCAAGCTCCAGCAACCACTATTGAATTCTATCAGAGTATCCGGTTAATTGTATAGGATCGAACTTCACTAATTTAGCTTTTAATAGCAACTTTCTACTCCCTGTCTTTTTTTTATTTTTTTTTTATTTTTTTTACTTGTCTCTTGCCAGGAGATTGGCAGGATTGCCATTGAGATGCATGGTACCCTGGAGGATCAGATGACTCATCTGAAGCAGTATGAACAGAGCGTTGCCAACTACAAACCCAACATTGACAAGCTGGAACAGCAGCACCAACTCATCCAGGAAGCTCTGATCTTTGACAACAAGCACACCAATTACACCATGGAGGTGAGCTTCCTAGCAAAGTATATGGCTCCAGGTCAAAATAGTGGTCCATGCTGGCCCTGATTTAATGCAGAGTAAATGGGTTAAATCTGTGATTTAACCATAATCTTAATATCTCCAACATCCTGAGCTCAAAGGCAAAATGTTTATTACAGACAAGTCTTTCTTTGTCATATTCTCATATCAGGCATGGGCCTGACTTAAGTCCACCTGTACCTGCACGAAAGTGTGTGCTGCATCATTAAGGGGAGATTTTTTTCTTTTCAGCACATTAGAGTTGGTTGGGAGCATCTACTTACCACTATTGCACGAACTATCAATGAGGTGGAGAACCAGATCCTAACCCGTGATGCCAAAGGCATTAGTCAGGAACAGATGCACGAATTCCGGGCATCCTTCAACCACTTTGACAAGGTGAGATGCATGTTATGTCTTCTCAGGTTACAGTGTTCATACTCTGGTGTTCATACTCTGGTGTATTGACACTTTGGTAGGCTATGGATTATCTTCTGTAAAACATAAGGGAGTTTGTGGGGTTTGGGGAAATACTTTTTCAAGCAGATCACAACAAATGCATGAATATTAAATTTTGAATTCATAGAGAAAGATTCTTTATATTTGGCTGTTTGTGCTGCTCCTAGTGGTAGCTATTTCAGTGTTATTCTCTCTTTATGTTGTCTAGTTCTATGGGGGTAAATAAGGCTTCTTCGGTATCTCAGATTTTCAAAGCCTTAAATAGGGAGAGGTGCAACTTTGTAGTCATTTAGGTGTTTGTGGAGTCAATGGGCCCTGGGTCAGTGGTAGTTGGGGGATTTCATTGGTGTTTGTTTTTTTTCCAGATAGCAAGAAGTAATTCACTATATACATGGAAGTGTATTAGGAATGACCTAAATTTGTTTCCCTTTTTTTTTTTTTCATCCCACCCTCATGTCCTCTCCATTTCCTCTGGGAGGTTAGCACTATTTAGCAATAAGACATCACAGAGGAAAGGGTCCATCTGTCCCTTGTCATTGTGTCATTTGTACATTGTGTAACGTGTATTTTTTTTTTTTATTTCTCTTCTGTTTGTGTTCTGATCGTCACCATCATGTCATCTCATGACTTGTGTCTCCGGATCCATCCTTCCCTTTCCCACCTTGTCCTGCCCATCTCAGGACCATACAGGTGCTCTGGGACCTGAAGAGTTCAAAGCCTGTCTCATCAGTCTGGGATATGATGTGGAGAATGACAGACAGGTACCCAAATTAGCCGTCTACTAGTTTCTTTCCTTTCTCTTGGCTGCTTATTTTTCCCTATTATTTGCCTTTAACTCCTTTCATGTGGACGCCAAAATCACTGCTGGTTCTGTAACTGTTGTTACATATACAACATTCCTGCTTGTATATGTAAAAAGTAAAAATTTTTGTCTTGCTCACATCCATCCCACTGCATTTTCTTCTTTCTCTTTGCTGTTGCTTTCTTCTGTGTCTGTCACTGTCTCTTGGAAAAGAAGAGAATTGCTGCCCTGGATGGGGATGACTTCCGAGCTCTTCTTATCTCTACGGGATACAGCTTGGTATGCGCATCTCCACTTTGCCCTGTGATTCACCTAACACCACTTAAAACTGCTGCCGACATACCCTGTCTAAATTGCCTCCTTAATGGGCTGTTTGTCTTTAGGGAGACGCAGAGTTCAACAGAATCATGGCCATCGTTGATCCAAACAACTCTGGCATGGTGACTTTCCAAGCATTCATAGACTTCATGTCTCGGGAGACTACAGACACAGACACTGCTGACCAAGTCATTGCCTCCTTCAAGGTGTTGGCTGGGGATAAGGTGAGTGAAGGGCTAAGTCACCTTATGTATTTGCTGGAAGAATTCTTACTGCCAATGTCATTCATGCACTTTCTCTGTTTCAGAACTATATAACTGCAGCAGAGCTGCGCCGGGAGCTACCGCCAGATCAAGCAGAGTATTGTATCGCTCGCATGGCTCCCTATCAGGGTCCTGATGCAGTACCAGGAGCGTTGGATTACATGTCCTTTTCTACTGCCTTGTATGGTGAAAGCGACCTGTGAGGGAACAGTAGGGATAGGATTGGGGGGGGTCTCTCTCTTTTGGTGAAGTGGCAATCACCCCCTATCAGCTAATAATGCCTTCCTATGGCATAGACTGAGCTCTGGAAGAGCAAGGGGAATGTTGGGTTATTCCATGCCCCTATCACCAAGGAGTAATAGGGGGTCATGTTAACTTTCAATCCCTTTGCAGGGAGGGAGGAGGGTGCCAGACCGATCCTCCCCCTCTTCAAAGCTATCTATGCAATGGCTAAGGAGTAAGGGATGCTTGCTCACACTGCTGGCACATATATTGAGCTTCTGGATAATCTTTTCATATCTCACATTCCTCCCCCACCCCCAATCTCCCTTGGTTTATTTATTCCTGGTCCTTTCACACCTGAGTTTGGCAGATTCCCAGTGCTAGAGCAGCTGGGGGTCTCATACTGTGTTTGTCTGCCTCTTATGAGGGCAGCGTTATAAATCTTCTGGAGGGCTCCACACTGCAGGCAGGGGAGAGATCCATTTTTAGTATGCGTGCTTCCCTTGAGCAGTCTTAAATAAATATTAAATTAATAGGGAAACACACAGGTCTGTCGGAAAAGGCAGCTAGTGTTCATATGCTCACATCTGTTACAAACACTTCTGGGGCATCTAAGGGAAGACCTTATTGGCAGGACAGTTAGGCCAGCTAAAGATCCCTAAATAATCATGTTCCAGGAGGAGTGGATATGTGATATCGTGCACATATTCCCCAAATGTTTTATTAAACAGCCACTGTCCTACAACTACATTCCTGTTGCATTTTCTCTCGGAGGATGGGAATATGCTGCATGCTATTTGGAGGAGCTCCATTCTGTTTGGGGTGTTACCCCTCCTTTCTCCCACCCAACAATTTCACTTTTGGCCCATTTACAGAATAAATACTATGCTATGAAATATGTTCTCTCTCGAAGGACCAAAAAAGTAAAATTAGAAGGGAAAAAAAAAAACTTTAAGAGGGTTACTATTTACTTAATTTAGGGGATTTATGATAAATATATATATATATTCACCTAGCAAAACATATATTTGCAGTTTTTTTTCTTTAAATAAAAGATTGCTGATTTTTGTCTGTAACATTCCTTGTCTCACTTTTTATACTGGCTGCCGTACAGGAGAGAGAGCTTGAGGGGCAGCATCCTTCTGTCCATTATTCCTGCCTCTCCTTACACAACAATAAAAGTGATTATTTTTAAGATAGCTTCTGCTGTTTTGTCCTTTGTTACAGATCTGACTTTAAACATTGCCTCTGTATGGGTATATTATATATCTCACTTTTTACCTGTCAGTTACTCAGCAGTGTCTTCAGAAGACTAGCGTTCAGTACTGCCCAATATTATAAAGCTACATGATTCCTTCTGGGCAACCGGGATGACGTTCCCATTATTTCATGTGTCACAAAAATAACACTTGTACCAAATGTTTTCTTAACCCCTTTAGGACACAGCTCCAGAAGCAATTTTAGAATTTTTGGCGGTTTGTTAAACCGCAGTTTGCGTCTCTCTTTTATTATACCAACACATATTATATACTTTTTTTGTTTGTTTTTAGGCAAAAAAGGCTTTAATTTGATGTGTAACATACATATATAAATTCTCATTTATTTAAAAATAAAAAGCTAAATAAAGTTACAGGTCACAAAATAAAAGGACTAAAATAGAATTTTGAACCAATTAAGGCAATAGTACAAGTTTTTAACAAAATAAAACTTGGGATATGCGCTATGTCTGTTCAACCAGAATTCACCTCTTTCCTATTACGGGCACCCACACTTAGTATATATCATTTTGTTCAGGCGAAACACAGCTTTCATTTCACATCAAATATTTTATATAAGAAACCTAATTTAATATGAATAAAATGTGGGGGAAAAAATAAATAAAAGTGGGAAATTAAGAAATGTTCTTTTTATAGTTCTGCATGACATTTTAACTTCCAGAATACCGTTAGCTTTTACTGCAATAAAAACACATATTTTGTATTCAGCAATTTCTGATTAACTATGAACAGGTGTTACGGTGTTTTGTAAAGTTACAGGGTGAAACATAGCATTACATTTTTCAGTTTATACACACTGAAATTTGCCAGATTAGTAATGTGGCCTTTGAGACCGTATGGTAGCTCAGGAATGAGAATTACCCCCATGATGGCATACCACTTGCAAAAGTAGAGAATCCAGGGTATTCAATATGGGGAAAATGCTGTCTTTTTTAGTAGCCACTTGGTCACAAACACTAACCAAAGTTAGCTTTCATATTTTGTTTTTGTGTGAAAAATGCAAAAAACAGTCACAAACAGGCCAAAGTAAGCGTTCATATTTATTTTTTGCACTTTTCACACAAATATGAAAGCTAACTGAGGCCAGTGCTTGTGACTAAGTGGCTACTAAAAGGTATACCTCATGTGACGGTAGTATAAGGTATCACCGTCAAGCATTCCCTTCTTCCCATAAAAGAAAGTCACCCAATATTCCACAAGTAGAAATATCCCTGGAATTGCCGAATAATCCACACCTGAGCCAAAGCTTAATGCTGGAACAAGACTTTACTGGAAGTAACAACAGGTATTCAAGCTACAGTTTCTTTTATGCCCTGCTCCCATGCAGGGGAGGGACACACACGTTATCTACAGTAGCCAATAAAACAGAGGTTACAGCCCACACAAAATCCTCCCCTCTGCCTGTGATTCAATTATCTTATACAATAGAAAATGCAATTATCACAGGTAGGAAAAAGTTTTTACAGCATATTCATAACTTCTAAAATATACATCACATTCACATAAAAATTATATAATCACAATCAATCCATTCAGGGAAACAACATATCACAAAATGGCATGAATCAGACCAGGGGTTCAGAAGTTAGTAAAGTATCTTTTGGGGCATGGCTATCTGGCCCAAACTGGTTTTACAGAGCCCTCTATCCTGGAGACAATGGGGAAAATAATCCAATTATCCAGGGATAGAGGCAGACTCCATTGAGCACATGTTCCCAGTAAAATACAAAAATACATAACTCCTATCATACTGAATTGAACAGGCCAAGGGTCCATAATCACAGGGCAAGAGGCGGGCAAGCAGTCCTCTCCAGGCACAAGTGGCGAAGGGCGCTTCGTCACAGTAATAAATCCATGAATAAAGTAGCAGGGAGGGAAAGTACCGAATGAATGGAGGGGATTCTTCACACCTCACTTGCAATACCTTGTGTTGTCTATGTTTGCAAATGGTATCCCATCATGGGGGTTATTCTCATTCCTGGGCTACCATACGGTCTCAAAGGCAACATTACTAATCTGGTAAATTTCAATGTGTAAAAAAAAAAAAAAACCTGTACATGGGAGAGACTTCTCTGAACTCAGATATTATGGCTTCAAAACAGTAAAACTTATCACAACAATATTGTCAGAGAAAGTGCCGTTTATGTGTGAAAAATACAAAAAACTTCACTTTTGGACAATATCATTTTTATACAAATAACCTTTTAAAACCTTAATATTTGTGTTCAGCGAAGTTTCCGAGTAAAACAAAACCCCTCATGTACAGGTTTTATTGACTTGGAAAGTTACAGGGTTAATCCCTTAAGGACACAAGCCATTTTTGCACCAAGACACATTATATACTGTGTTGTTTGTTTTTTTTGTTTTTTTTTAAAAGTGCTTCAATTTGATGTCACATATACATAGATAAATTCTCATAAATTTTTTTAAAAATAATTATGTGGGGGGAATTATTTTTTTTTCCAGTTTTGGCAATAGTGTGTGCATAATATGTCCAGCTTAGAAAAAGTAATTCAAAATTAATGTCTTGATTTATAGAGTACATATGTATAGGATTTCAGCTTATTTTGAAAGTTACAGGACACACAATACAAGGACTAAAATAAAATTTTAATGTGAAACAATTATAGAAGTTGGTATGTTTGTCTTGTAGGTTTAGTAGCCATCACAGAAAAAATAAATTGCCACACAAAATTATATTTTTCTATAAAGTAGACATCACAGACTTTACCTAAGGTTAGTTTGACACTTTTTACATAGCCATTTCATCGCCAATCTCTGCTAAATATTGGAGTAAGATTGTGTTTGTTTTTTTTAAAGCTGGTGTGTGCTATTCCTGCCCAGAACCCCATATTGTATTCAGTTACATCTGCTGAGTATATCCCCATTGTATGCCTTTGGGACTTTTCTGTGAAGCTACAATGCTCTATAAGAGACCAGGCTATTTTAGTTTCTATAGTTAAAATTTCATAGATGGATTTGATGAGCCTGTGTCTCATTTTGGGATATTATAGCAGTTTGTTCAAATAATCCCTCAAAGGGCTTTCATTTGAAAAAGAAGACACCATAGGGTATCTTATATGGCTATTATTGAGCCTTAACCTGTCACCATTTTTTCACCAATTTATGTCAATGTTTGTGGTGAGGGGGGAAAATTGGTGTGTTTACATACATGTTGCATTTTTGCAGGGTATTTCTTACACTTGTTATGTGCCACTCTCTTAAAATCCCCCCAAATAATGCTCTGTTACATCTTCAGAGAAAAATATGCGCAATGTGAAGTTACACTGCTGTAAAATAGACGTGACAAGTTCAGGTTTTTAAGTGTGAATTTTCATGAAGGGTTTTGATGCGTCCTTGGCCCACTTTGGAGCCCTTTAGCATATTCCAGCTACACTATAAAGGCATACCATTTCGTAAAGACATTCCAGGGTATTTCAAAATATAAAATAGTTCATGTTGCTCAGCAATGTCGTCTGAGAACAATACCCCCATTCAGGGTTTTTTTTGTTTTTTTTTGTTTTTTTTCCTTTTCAAGTTTTACACTGTGTCCATGTTCCATTTTAGCTGGTTGGTTATTCAAACTACCCCACAAACATACTATTTATTAAAGAATAAACCCTCGGGTAATTCAAAAGGCATATTTAGAACTTTGGTGTGGGACCATTTTTTTGTTGTTGCTATTTTGTACAAAGTGTAGTAATAATGAGTTTGTACTGTACATTTTGCAAGCTTTATGTGTGCAATGGCAGTATAACACTTCATAGGTTACTCAGCTATGTCGTGTGAGTACAGCAATACCGCCATATGTATCTTTGCCAGGTGTAGGTGAATGTTGAAGGGGCACATTTGAGACAAAGCCATTAGTTTTTATTTTTTCCTAACTTTGATGTTTTATGCTGTGTCCATGTTCAATTTTTGAGTAGTTTAGCACAAACACATACACTTTAAAAAAAAAAAAATGTTTTTATAAAGATTATGGTTTGAACCTTGGTGTGGGATCATTTTTATATTAGTTTGTTCCAGGTGTAATGGTGAGCTTTTTTTTTTTCCAACTTTTTTACTCTTAACCTTTTTACTTTTTTTTTTTAATCAAATTTTTAAAAAAAATTTTTCACTTTTAAATTTTCTTTACGCTTTAAGTTTTTATGAACTTTTTTTACCGTTAATCCCTAACTAGCAGTAAGCAGCACTAACTGTAAATTTCCCATAACAATCACCAACCCCAGCTAGCAAAATATATAATTGATGAAATAAATTGAACCCCTGAGGGTTAAAAAATAAAATACAAAAACAGATCATAGTATAATAATGTGATCTGTATTTTGATAACTGTAGTCAACTGTGATCAACTGGCTGAGAATCGGTTAATTTTTATTAGGACTTGGTCAAGGGGGGTGGGGTTTTGAAACATTTTTTATTTTTAACCCCTTAAGGACTGGACTGTTTTTGCGATGTTGTACATTTGCGACCAAGCATATTTTGACACTTTTGTGGTGTTTGTGTTTGGCTATAATTTTCCGCTCTCTCATTTACTGTTCCCATACAAATTATATATTGTTTTTTTCAGGACAAAGGGGGCTTTCTTTACATACCATTATTTATATAATCTCATGTATTTTAATTTAAAAAAATATGATGAAAAATTGAAAAAATACATGTTTTTTGACTTACTTGAAAAATCTTTTACTCATCTACAAAAGCGAATTGAAAAAAACTGCTAGATAGATTCAAAATTTTGTCCTGAGTTTAAAAATACCCAGTGTTTACGTGCTTTTTTGCTTTTTTTTTTTTGCATGTTATAGGGCTATAGGTACAAGTAGGATATTGCGGTTTCAAAACATAAATTTTTAAAATGTATCATTAGTGACATTGTAACACTATTATCTGTCATAAATCTCTGAATAACACCCCACATGTACATATTTTTTTTAAAGTAGACAACCCAGGGTATTCAATATGGGGTATGTCCAGTCTTTTTTAGTAGCCACTTAGTCGAAAACACTGGCCAAATTAAGCATTTATATTTGTGTGTGAAAAAAGTAAAAAAACTAAATTGAACGCTAATTTTGGCCAGTGTTTGTGACCAAGTGGTTACTAAAAAAGACTGGACTTACCCCATTTGCAATACCTTGAGTTGTCTTCTTTTGCAAATGGTATGCCATCATGGGGGTAATTCTCATTCCTGGGCTACCATACGCTCTCAAAGGCAACGTAACCAACCTGGCCATTTTCAATGTAAAAATATTTGATCCATATATTTGACCTTGTAACTTTCAAAAATGCTATAAAACCTGTACATGGGGGGTACTGTTTTACTCGGGAGACATCGCTGAACACAAATATTAGTGTTTAAAAACTGGAAAACGTATCACAACAATTATATCATCAGTAAAAGTGCTGTTTGTGTGTGAAAAATGCAAAAAAGTCACTTTCACTGACAATATCATCGCTGTGATATGTTTTACTGTTTTGAATCACTAATATTGGTGTTCAGCGAAGTCTCCCGAGTAAAACAGTACCCCCCATGTACAGGTTTTAGGGTGTCGTAGAACGTTACAGGGTAAAATACAGTGCTAGCAAATTAAATTCTCTGGAATTTCGGCCTGGGTTGGCAGGCAGGTCCTCAAATTGCAATCAATAAAATTACTGAATTATGTAAAAATATTACATAAATACGCACGTAGAATTTAAATATATATGCATATTTATATATTTGAAGTCTACGTGTATATTTATATAATTATTTATGTCATTTTGTATATGGACATATGTATATTTCTTATTATTTTTATTTATTTTTATATACATAGATATATATACAAATTCATTCTAAGTGTATTTTGATATAAATATATATATATTAATTTTAAAATACAGTTAGAATAAAATTTCATATAGATATAATTTTTTTTTAAATTTTTATTATTAAATTTTTTTTATTTAATTTAAGTTACTTATTATTTATATTTTATAATATATATATATATATATATATATATATATATATATACAATATATATATATATAGTTATTATATATATTATATATATACACGTGTGTAATTTAATTATAAGTGTATTTTTATATTAATATAAGTACATATTAATATAAAAATACACTTAGTATGACATTATATATATATGATATATAGACATATATTATATAGATATAATATATGTCTATATATCATATTTATACACATATATAATTTTTTTAATTTTTTTTATTAACACTAACTTTATTTTTATTTTATTTTTTACACTAGCAGGGAGACTGCCTGTCAGCACAGGCAGTCCCCCTGCAGGCAGACACATGGACACCTATTGTGACCATGTGATCGCTGTGTTAAGCGATCACATGGCCACAGGGGTCCTAAATCAGTGTGGGGAGACTGTCTGGGCTGCAGGCAGTCTCCCCACAACCGGAGCAACGCTGATCGCCGCCGGGGGAACGACGGCGATCAGGTAAGTACCCCCAGACCGTTAGGACGGTTCAGGACCGTCATCGGTCGGCAACGCAAAAATGCCGATGACGGTCCTGAACCGTCCTCGGTCCTTAAGGGGTTAACATTCTTAAAACGTTTACTTTTTTTTTAACGTTAATACCTAGCTAGCCTAACACCAAATTCCCCACTAACTTCCACCCACCCCAGCTAGCTAAATATACAATTTTTTTTTTTTTTTAATTCTTTATTTTATTTGTGCATAGTTGGAACAATCATGTTTGTACCGCCACAATAGCAGGTGCAAGCAGGTTTGAAAACATACATTAACATAGGTATGGCATTGTAATACATAGCACAGTTTTGTTTTTTTTTATATTCAAGATAGGGGACATGTTAAAGGTTAAACCATGGATCATAGTTACACAAAAGAAATCCGCTTGTCTCAGAGTTTAGTAATGTATTATACTGATTAAGCTTACAGCCTAGGAACTATCATGCTAGCTGAAAGTATCTGAGGCTTGCTTGGTACATATGGTAACATCGCTGCTCTATCTAAACTTAGAATTGGCATGCTGTGTCACGAGCTACCAGAATGTATACATGCAGTATAATCATGATTGCATTTTAATCTATGAATGACACACACGCTTTTGCAGGCTAGTCTCGCCTAGCTGTTAGGTTACTTATATTGAATCTGCGCTTCGCTGCCTTATAGCAAGCTTGAAAGATGAAGCAAGGGTAAAAACTTAAAGCATAGTTATAGAAGGCAGACAAATATGCTAGGCAATATGGCACGGTTGGCGTTCGCTTAAAATATAAAAAAAAAAAGAAAAATTATGCCACCGTGTGTAACAAATAACCCTGGGTTCCGAACATAGACTCCTCTCCCAGGGGAGAGGAGAACTTGATCTTGATGGTTGTTGGTCAGGAGGCAGAGAGTAGGCAGCCCCAGTCCTCATGCAGAGAGCAGCCAACTCCCATCACTGGCAGGTCACAGTGATGTTTTCCAGCTCTGTTCGAATAAAGATGCTGTGGTGTGGCTTGTCAGGTAGTGTCAGACAGTTGCGGGTGGGAGCTGGGTATGTGTGAGGTCTTCACACTGATCCTCGGCTGTCGTGATAGTCTGAGTACCCCTGTATCCGCTTGCCAGTCAGATGGTCTCCGCTCAAGGTCCTCGGTGTCGATTGGAGCACCCCAGGTCGGGACACAGGATAGGTAGGTTGCTTTAATGATTTCTCCCTGTGTTACCCGTAGTGAGCGCCAAGAGCCCCAAGGAGGGGCCGCCCTCTCCACAGCGTGCCTTTCAGGCTCAGCCGCCATCTTAGGTTGCAAAGTCCCGTTCGGGGTAGTTCCCCAGGGTAGGCCGGGATAACCCCCGCCGGCCCAGAGGGGGGGAAGCAGGGCCATCACCCCATTGTGTTAGGGGACCTCCGTGTTGCAGCCAGGTAGGATAGCAGGGCAGCGGCCGTCCGCCCCACTCACCACCCGGATAGGTTGACTAGGCCTCGGTCTCGAAGCTCCGTTTTCGCGCCAAACACGGGCCCAGAAGCGGGTTGCTGACTGATCTCCAGTCCTAGCACCTCATAGTGCAGTTGCCTGCCGTGACTCAGTGCTAGAAAGTGCGTTTTGGGGCCATAGTGCCCGAAAATAGCGGGAGCTATAGTGCCATGCGTCCACTCTGCTCGGCGGTCCGGCCCCGCCCCCTAAATATACAATTTTACAAATATTTAAATTCTTAAAATGTAACCTCTGAGGGTTAAAAAAAAAAAAAAAAGCTCACATTTAAAAATAGTCTCTGCCAATTGATCACTGTAGTCGGTAATCAATTGGCAGGGAAGGGGTTAATTTTTATTTTAAAGGTGGATGATTTGAATTTTTTTTTTTCTCTCTCTCTCTCTCTCTCTCTCCCCTCGGGGAGAAGATCAGCATTGATCCGTCTCCCTGCATTTCACACTAACCACGGAAGCAAAGGGAGGCGGATCAGGAGTCCCTGCAGCACATATGTCAGAGCCTGTCAGAGCAATCACAGCTGCAGGGACAATCTGGGGTTAACATTAGTAAATGACGGAAATTTTCCGTCATGCGTCCTTAACACAAGGACAAGCATGCCGGAAATTTTCCATCTAACGTCGTGAAGGGGTTAAATATAGGGCTTGCAAATTAAATTCTCTGGACCTTCTGATCACGGTGATATACTGTGATCTGTGTTGTGATCACTGCAAACCATGATCAAAGGGCAGGGAAGTGGTTACATTTTATTAGAAGGGAATGGGAGGTGGGATTTACTAACCCTTATTTCATTTATTTTTTTACACAGAGAAGCAAATCAGCACTGATCTGTTTGCCTGCACTTCACAGCTTACACGGAGCTGACTCACGGTCAGAGCGATCACGTTATCTGAAACAGTGAGACTGCGTGCTGTAGTGTGGCACAGAACATTAACCCCATGATTGCCACAATTGTGGCAATCTGGTGTTAATTTTAGTAATGGGTGGAAATGTTTCCGTCCTTAAGGGGAGGGCTGCAATGATGGAAAAATTCAAACTAGCATCCTTAAGGGGTTAATGTGGAACTATAAACAGTAAATCTTATTGAAGTGGTTATAGTGCCTGGTATTTTACATTGTTCACCTGCAAAGAGGGGATGAGCTGGCAGGGACTCCTAACTGCACTCTAAATGGTTTAACACGATGGCTCCAGGAACTCCAGGTACTACAATCACTTAATGAGATGAAGGGGTTACAAGTCCTACAGTGTCCTTTATTCCAAAAGCAGAATTTAAATACTTGCAAAAACTCATTAGTCTCATTTCTGTTTGCAGTCTGATATAGAAAGAAAGATAAACTTTGCCTTGTAAATCAAACTACGATAAAACGCCAATTCTATATAGATCTAAAGTGATGGAAAGTCTCCTCTAGGTGAAATCTTTAACCCACAGGCAGTCATTTTAGTCTCTATCAGGGAGTATAGCTGATACCCCGATATCTGGATTTCTGACATGTTAGCCATGTGCAAATGAAGTAAAAATTGATGCTGGGTAAGAATAATCTCCCACGCAAACTATAATCTTAAATCCATTTAAAGATAAACTATTGAGTTTCTACAGTACCCAAAAGTTTGACTGTACCTTACAAACCACGTCTGAACAGTTTAAACGTTGAGAAGGCACAGACATGGAGACCCATGATTAGTTATACTAGCAGAGTTAGACTAGTGTCAGCTATTTCTCTTACCACTTAAATCCTGTGTGTTGATTATTTGTGACTTTTTAGCGATATTTAGGTGATAGTCACCTTTCGTCTCCTACCATGGTAGATTTATCATAAATTGTTTGAATATGCACTATCTTTTAAGTTACTGTGTTCTTAACCAAATATGAAGAAAAGTTAAGTTTTTATAACATAGAAATAGGTAACCCAATATCCTTAGCAGTGCATACCAACCTTTCTTGTTGTGCTGGGTTCCTTAGCTTTTGGGTTAACCCTATTTGGAGTGTACTCAGATTTAGCTCTCTCCCTTTTTTGGATTTCATGTGAAAATACATGAAAGTATTACAAAAAATAAATTTGATTTATGTAATATAAACACACATTTATATTCTTCAAATATTGGAAAGGACTTTGTTATGAAAAAGTAAAGTTTTTAATTGTGCAGCACCAACGTTTCGGACCGACTTGTGGTCCTTTCTCAAGACCACAAGAACACTTCTCGTCTCAGAGGAACATAAAGTCTCATTCTCCTCAGGAGCTGCTGCAGCCAATTAAATAAACCTATGGCACTGTGTGGCATGGAATGGGTTAATATACTGATCACTTGAAGACAGGAATGTACATGTATTACATAATCCGTAATATTCACTAACATTCCTGACCTGTGAGGCCGCTCATTCCTGCGCTAATGGCTCTACACTACAGAGTCTAAAATAAAAGATAAAAGTGGTTTCTAGTGCTTACAATGTCCAAATGTGAAAGGCAGCTATTTCTCCCAAACCAGAGTCGCTTTTGTCTGGTTGTTGATGTAGAGGAGATGAAAAATTGGAAGAAACGCCTTGGAGGGGTCCTCAAATTCCAAGTGACGTAGTGGGGAAAGAGAGGAAAATATATGGTGCAGTATGTCAAATTTAAAACAAAAGGAAATACATGTATAGTGTAGGGCGCTATCTCTTAGCTCTGGATGTAGCACTTGGGCAGTACAATCCCTGCCTATGGACATAATGATAAAATCTTGGTCCAACCGAATCAGGTATGCATATGTAACAAAAACACGAGTAAAAAATAGTGCAATCCCTTCTCTTGGTATATCTTTCTATGGGTGGGTAAAATCCTCGCTCTAGATATAAAATAAATAAATAAATCACAAAGTATAGTGCACACCGTGTGGCTATAAGAGCATATAAAAATAGGAAATGTACTCACTACTTTGAGAGCAGAAAGGTTTCGCTCAATCCAAAAACACTTGGGTGTTAAATCTCCCACCAAGGAAAATCACCTGGCAAATCAGGAAGGAACTTGATTTCATTCACTGCACTTGAGAAAGCCTACCCATTAGGTGAAACGCATTGTGATTTGTATACTTGTTCCTATATTTGCTTTTATTTATGTGAGTAATAATGAAGTTTAATCTATATTATACTCCTGAACCTTCCTGATGTTTCTGAAGATTATACATCATTTTCCTTGGTTGGGAATTTATCACCCAAGATTGAGTTGGATTGAGCAAATCCTTCTTTTTGCTCTCAGAGAAGTGGTAACTTTTTATTTTATTTTTTTTAAATATTTTTGTTTTATCGTAAAGTAGTATATCATTCAGATGCATACGAGACCTGCGGGTCTCAACGTTTTGCAAACTGCAAAGTAGCAATCATAAATGCAAGGATTAGACGCGTAGGTCTATGAACATGGCAATAATTAGGAGACTCGCAGGTCCCAAATCGTACAGTAAGCAACCTTAATGCAAGGGATTCATAGATGGAGTGTATGAGTGTAACTGTAACATGTTTACACTCACATGTCTGATAACATTTGGAGGGGGAAAGGCATACAGGTCTCGCAGATTACTCCCTGCAGTCCTGGTGGCTGAGATTTTTCATGTGGTTCTGTGACTCCCTGGTCCCATAAGTGTAACTTTGTGGGCTTGTTATCTGGCGTGCTCCCGGTGTGGTGTGTTGCGAGTAGGGTGCATCTGCGTTGGTTGTGGTTTTACAGTTTCGTGCTTTGTTTTTATGTATTTGTTTATTTGGTTTCGTTTGGTATTTATAAGGGCAGTCATCTGCTCTTGAGTTTGCGACATACAGGTGCGTGAGTCGTTCAACTGATTCTGGTGGTGTAGTGGAGTGTAAGGGCATGACAATACAGGCACTCCGGTCTAGCTATAGCTGAGTGAGTTGGGAATTCGCCTATCTTATCTTGTGCTTCGTGTCCCAGTCGTGAGCTGCGGTAGTATCCTCATGGCTGGGGCGATCCTAATTTCTCTGGTTGCTGCCTGTAATTGTGATAGTGAGTCTGGAGAGGTAGGTCTGTGGTTAGTATGTGTGAGTGTCAAAACTCCTTCCCCCCCCGCCCCCCTTTTAAGTGTCCTGTTGGAGTTTGTCGTCCCGTTCCTTCTCCTTTCCTCTCCGATCACTTTCTCATCTCAGTGTTTTTCATGGGGTTTAGATTCAGTGTGGTATTTTGGGATTTGTTTCCTCTGAGTTGGGGCCGAAACTTGGGGGTTGAGGGCGGTCTGGGGAACCCTACCATTGCAGGTCTTTGATTTTGAGTGAGTCTTGTCCCCTATCTGCGTGCCTTTAGGTTGCGCTGATCATCCCTCCTCCCCGGCTGCGGCACCCTCCCCTCCGCGTATGAGGCATTCCCATTCCGTACGCCCGATCCCGCACACCGGCGTTTTTTGCGGGACTTTAATAATAGGGTGTTTTTTCAGGAACAGGTGGCATAATTTCAAGACATGGGGTTGTTCATGGATGCTTCGGGCAGTATAGAGTTTGGGGCATACCTGGCGGGACAGGGGTGTGCCGAGGAGTGGCCGGAGACCTGGAAAGACAGCTCGCTGATAAGGAACCTGGCGTTCTTGGAATTTTTCCCGATAGTAGTGGCAGTTGCCTTATGGGGTGCGGAGCTGGCAAACAAGAGGGTGGTATTCTACTCTGATAACATGGCAGTGGTGCAGGCAATCAATGGTTTGTCAGCAGCCTCACTGCCTGTGGTGTGGTTATTGAGGCAGTTGGTTGCTCTCTGCATGCCCTTTAATATAATGTTCAGGGCTAGACACATTCCGGATTTTGAGAATGTAGTGGCTGATGCACTATCTCGTTTTCAGTGGGAGCGTTTTCAGGAAGCGGCACCAGGCGTGTTGGAATCGGGGCAAGCTTGCCCGGACGAGATGTGGCAGCTCGGGACGTCCTGCTTGGGGAGTATATAAGGAGTTCCTTGGCGCCGGGCACTTGGACATCATATGTTAAGGTTTGGAAGGAGTGGGACGAGACAGTACAACAGGTAGGGGGGGAGAGCTCGTCGGCTAACCGGTTAGATGTGTTGTTATGGATTCTTTGTCGTTTGTTCGCGAAAGGAGCATCGTCGTCCATGGTGGACAGGCATATGTCGGCCCTGGCATTCCTATTTAAATTCAACGAGTGGGACGATATCACAAAACACTTTCTGGTAAAGCAAGTGGTGCGGGGCTTTCGGAAGGGTAGAAAGTCGGTGGACGCGCGGAGACGGTATTGTTTACACTATTACAAGGACTAGTGGAAGTGCTACCTGGCATATGTTTTTCACAATTCGAGCTTGCGTTATTTACAGGGGCGTTTGTTTGGGCCTTTTTTGGGGCATTTCGGATTGGGGAGTTGGTCAGTGCCAACAGAGCAGGGGTTGGCGGGTTGCGGATGGAAGATGTGGTGATCAGTGCGGATAAGGTGCGGATTCGATTGGGTCGCTCAAAGACAGATGTTTTTGGCAAAGGTTGTGCGGTGACTCTGTTTGAGTTGCTGAGGTCTGGAGTATGCCCAGTGGCTTGTGGGGCCAGGTTCCTCGAGCTACGGCCAAACGTCAAGAGATGTTTCTTCATACACGCTGACGGCTCGGCGCTGTCGCATTTTCAATCTGTAAGGTCTTTCAGCTGGGCTTAAGAAAGATGGGCTTGGAGCCCATGCAGTTCGGTACACACTCGTTCCATATCGGAGCGGCTACTGAGGCAGCAAGCCTGGGGTTAGGAGAGGAACAGATTAAGCGGATAGGGAGATGGGAATCACTTCGGTTCCGCTCGTACGTACGGCTGGACAGGTTGGTTTGAAGTGGTGGAATATGGGGGACAGTGAATGGTGGGGATTGCGTTGCTGTTTCACTGTTTTTGTTTCATTTCAGGTTGGTCGGTGTGGATAATTGGGCATTTGTATATTCACTGGGCCCATAAGAGGGCCGCAGTTAGAAGACAAGGAACACAGCTGGGCTTTCCTCTGGAACGGGTGGCTTTATCCTGGTTTGGTTTTCAGTGTTTTGGATGGCAGCGAATCAGTTTTGAATTGTTTAGTAAGGTCACGAAGGGAACCTTTCCGGATGTAGTAGTGGTTCACGGCGGTTGGAACGACTTAGGGTTGGTCCCCCAACAGGAACTGGTTAGGCGAATGAAGAGGGATATGGATCGGCTGCAAGAGCTGATTGCTGGCGTCAGGGTGGTGTGGTCGGAAATGGTGCCTCGCTTGAGTTGGAGATACGCCAGGGATCCGGCTGCAGTAGCTTGATGCAGGGGCAAGGTCAATAAGACCATGGCCGCATTCATACGCAGGATAGGTGGCATAGTGGTACGGCACCGGGAATTGGAGGAAAGGCTGCCAGGGTACATGGGGAATGATGGGGTACACCTGTCAGACGTTGGTTATGATCTACTTAATTTGGGTTTTCAGGACGGCATTGCACAAGCCCTGTTTATGTGTGGTTGGGGTCGCACATGAGCTTAAGGATATCAAGTCATGTGCTGTGGCGGAAAAGGGCTTGGTTAAATAGGAGTGGATAGGCCAAGGTCTAGGCTGGAGTAGGCCGGAGTTAAAGAAGTGTTTGGTAGGTTCGAGCTCATCGGTGGCTACGAACCGAAGGGTGTAGGGGTGTCTGGGTACACCCCTACAGTTTACCAGATGGAGGTGGGGCCTCTTTGGGACGCCGTGTGTTATACGTTATGCATTATTTGGAATGTTAATTGTTGTTCTCTGGTAGAGTCATTGTCAGGGGTATTGGGCAAGAGCGATTGGAACAGAATTAGTACTTGTGACAATGACCCTAAATTGTTAATTTACATATTTATAATAATTTAATAAAGCTGTGGACTTTATACTCCAACAGAATAAATTGGTGCCCGAGTATTATTTAAGTTAAAGGTTTAGCACATGCCGAATAACGACTGCGCACATGTCATGTAATCCTGCAACCTATTTGTTCTGTTCTGTTTTATTTGTCCTTCTATTTTAACCCATACTTTTATTTATAGGTTTTATTATTATTTTCTTTCATTCCTGTTTATAATCTATTTAGGGCATATTGCCCAAGCTCCTTTATTTCGGTTATCTCTCTCTCTCTTTCCTATAAATTCTATTATAGGATATCCTGTTCATACTATGTCTAAGAGAACAAATAAGGTACCTGAAGTCAACCTTGATATAAGTCTCCCCTCTGACCTGCTCAGAATCATGACAATTGTTTAAAAAAAATATATATATATATTCCCATTTCCCTGATCTTACCTTGCAGGGAGGTGGGTGGCAAAATCAGATCCCTGGTGCCTATCCATCGGGTACACTGGAGGTGAGAGGTATCTCTCTTGGAACACACACACACACACACACACCTATACACATACATACACACACACACACACACACACACACACACCTATACACATACATACACACACACACACACACACACACACCTATACACATACATACACACACACACACACACACACACACATATACACACTGACCCACCACACACCTATACACATACACACTGACTCACCACACACACAGACTGACACATACACAGACTGAGCCCCCTCGCCACCCCCACACCCCCACACACACACTGAACCACACACATTGACTCCAACTTACCAGCAGCGGCCTGCATGCTCTCTATGACCCAGGAGGAAGTCCTCCCAGCACAGCGCCCCATCTGTCCGCACATGGGAAAAGGGTGGAACACAGTGACAGTGCTGCTGCAGCTTGTGAAGGAGACTCAGTGCTCCCGCCTTCAATTTCAAATAGGGGGGGCACAAGGGGGTGACACTGCATGATGTAGGGGGGCCATGGCCAGTGGCGTACATACCGCAACACATGTCGCGGGCACCCGGTCGCAGGGAACCACAGGGCGGTCGGGCCCCCAGGAGTGACAGGCCCGGTCGCGCTGCAGAATGCCGGGGCCGCACATTTAAGTGGCCAGGCCCCCTGTGATGACATCACAGCTGGAAGGAAGTGACTGCCCATCACTCCTCCCAGCTATCAGCGAGAGCCCGAGCCACCACTGGACCCCAGGGAAAGTCACCCTCCTGCACCTAAAAGGTAGGAAACAGGAGATTGACTTAAACATTTTGTATCTGTATGTTTTTGTTTGTATGTATGTGTGTATGTGTTTGTGTGTGTCTGTCTACGTGTGTGTGTGTCTGTCTGTCGGAGGGGGGCATGGATTGTGTGTATGCCACTGGCCATGGCCCCCTCTGCTCCCCTCTCCCCCTCCCTCCCCCCAGTGACGCCCCCGAGAAGGTCCGGCTAAATGTACAGTCATGAGAAAAGAAAATATATCCTCTTTGAATTCTTTAGTTTTGCATATCAGGACATAATAACAATCACCAGTTCCTTAGTAGATCTTAAAATTAGGTAAATACAGCCTCAGATGAATACATGACATTACCCCGTTTCGTGATTTAACAAAAATAAAGCCAAATCACATTGTTGTGGGGGAGTTTTCGCACACTGTAGAATACTTTGGTATACAGAGGAGTTCATGGTCGACTCACTGCAAGGTTTCCAGTTCCTGTGGCTGCAAAACAATCCCAAATCATCAGCTCTCCACCATTGTGCTTGACAGTTGGTATGAGATGTTAGTGCTGATAATCTGTACTTGGTTTTCACCAAACGTGGCGCTGTGCATTATGATCAAACATCTCCACTTTGGTCTTGTTTGTCCAAAGGACATTGTTCCAGAAGTATTGTAGTTTGTTCAGATGCAACTTTGCAAACCAAAACAGTTCCAGAGAATTAGGCTGTGCGGTCGGTCTACTTTGGGGATTCGAAGTAACATATAAAATACCATGTTTGAATGCCGCTTCGAACCACTTCGACTGTTCGGGAGTTTAAAGTGCCGCTTTGAAAGTTCAAAGTGTTCCTGGTATAAGTCCAAAAGGGCACAAATAGTGTTTTTAAACAAAGTCTATTACAGGGGCCATGGTCACAGGGCAGGAGGCTGGCAAACAGGCCCCTCCAAGAACCAGTGATGAGGTTACTTTCGCCACATATCTTCCCTCCCAAGGGGAGACTAACCAGGTACCTGACCTCCTGTCGGTCAGTACCTGAGTTAGTCGAGTAGCCCACCCATAAGTAAATACTGGACCTGGTGACTTCTGCAACCCATCTCTGTCCTGTATGTCCTCAGCAGTCAAGTGGGCATCTGGTACTCCTGGTCTCCTTTGTACTCCCAGGCAAAAGTTATAGGTAGTTGGTGAGCAGAGGCCAGCGGCGTTCTGCCCTGTAGCCAGCATTGCAGCTGGGTAAGTCAGGGGGTCGTCTGGTCTTGGACTAAGGACAAGGGGAGGGCAGAGGCCAACTGAGCTCTGCCCTGTTTCCAGTGCTTCTGCTGGGATGGGGTCTGCGGATACTACCCCCAGGACCCGGTTGAGAATCTGCTGTGGAGAGGAGGGATCGCCTACCTCCTCCTCCTGATATTCCTGTGAGGTTGGTTGGAGATCTGGACAGGCCATCCAACATCCCTGTAGGATTGGTACAGAAACCGCAGTCCCATCTGCACCATTGTGGTTAGGGTTACTGTCCCCTTGTAATGGTGAAGAGGGACCAGCTGTCTCCCCTTCCGGTATATGCTGCTGCCGCTGGGTAGAGAGACCGGTTGCCTCCTCGCCCTGTAAGGTAAGCTGCCGCTGGGGAGTAGGACCGACTGTCCCTACTTCCAGTAACTCTGGCTGTAGTTGGGGATCTGGCCTGGCTGCCCAGCATCCCTGTAGGGCTGGTGGAGAGACCTCGGCCCCATCTCCACCTGCCAGTTGAGGTTCCTCCCAGGACCAGTCTATAAGGTCCCCTATTTCTGCAGCTGGTAGGGAAGCAGGGGATACTGTGGCCAAGTCTCTGGAGGACAAGTACTGCTGCTGAGGTACTGGACCGATTATCTCTGTTCCCGGCAGTGTACCTGGTTGCCGCACTAAGCTGAACAGATGTTGGTAGCTCTGCTCCAGCTCCCACTCCATGGTGACCAGATGGATGAGGTCTAGCTCCAGGTCACCAGCTCTTGGGAGATCCAGCAGGGTTTACCTGATGTCGTGGATGTCCCAGAGTCGATATTCTGCCAGATACCCAAAGTCAATGCCCTCCTCAAAGGCTTTCCACAGTAAGATAATCCTCACCTTCCGGCATACTGTCATCAGCCATCCAGTGGTTGCTCTAGGTGGCGTACCACTTTAGTGCCCGGTAAGCCTCGTCCAGCCACAACACCTTCCAAATCAGGTCCCACAGTTCTGTCACCCACTCATCCAGGGGTTGCTTTACTAGGAGAGGTAACCGCAGGGCCACGAGTACCTAGTTCTTCACTGGGAAGGCTCTCTCTCCGCCGCCGCTGCACACAGGGACGTATTAGCCGCGAGGCAAACAAGGCATTTGCCTTGGGCGGCATTTTTCAGGGGGTGGCAAAAAACGCCGCCCCCAAATGCCCAGGGCAAATGCCTTGTTAGCCTCGCGGCTAACAGACATGCTGGGCGGCGCTGGCTGATGGTCGGGCGGGTGGCTGGCGAAGGAGCTCTTCCTCTGAGCAGTCTGCTCAGCTCCCTCGCGCGCCGCAGAGTGAGGCTGGGAGCCGGAAGATGACGTCATATTCCGGCTCCCAGCCTCACTCTGTGGCGCGCGAGGGAGCTGAGCAGAGTGCTCAGAGGAAGTGCTCCCTCGCCAGCCGCCCGCCCAGTAGCCAGCCCATCAGCCCGACCGGCAGCCACTGGACCACCAGGGAGAAAGAGGAACCCCCCCCCAGCACTCCCAAAGGTAAGGAGGCGGGGGGGTTAAATTAAAAAATGTGAGTGATTGTGTGTGTGTGTGTGTGTGTTTGTGTCTGACTGTGTGTGTGTGTGTGTGTGTTTGTGTCTGACTGTGTGTGTGTGTGTGTGTTTGTGTCTGACTCTATGTGTGTGTGTCTGACTGTGTGTGTGTGTCTGACTGTGTGTGTGTGTTTGTGTCTGACTGTGTGTGTGTGTTTGTGTCTGACTGTGTGTGTGTCTGACTGTGTGTGTGTGTGTCTGACTGTGTGTGTGTGTGTTTGTGTCTGACTGTGTGTGTGTGTCTGACTGTGTGTGTGTGTGTGTGTATTTAGAATGTGGGGCGGGGGAAGGGTTGGGTGAGGGTGGCGTGGGGGGAAGGGGTGCCTGAGTTTTGTCCTGCCTAGGGCAGCACAAAACCAGGATACACCACTGGCTGCACATCCTCCAAGACCTCGTACCACAGCTCTATTCGAGTGGCATCTCTCCAGTCCAGTATGCCTTCAAGTATTGCTGCAACCTCCAGAGAAACTCCTCCTCACATGGGGACGCTGCACGTGTGCTAGCTCGCTCCATTCTCCCGAGTTCCTCTGTAAACAGTGCTAGCATTGCCCTCAGTTTGTAAAATCCATCCGGTGTCTCCAAGGTGCTTCTCCTAGCACAAGGAAGCCATCCCACCACTGCCACCAAATGAGGCGGACAGCCTGGCACCCCAACTGGGTGCCTCTGCCAAGCACTGCTTCCTAGCCCCTTTGAGTACTTCCAAGCACTCCACCAGACACCATCAGCACCGTAGTCCCCACTTCCAGCGTTACAGCTTGGCTGGGGTCTCGCTGTCCTCCACCCACCCTGGAACCAAGACCAGGATCGAGCTTCCAGTGGGCAGATCTCTCCTACTCAGAGAGTTTAACAGGAACAGCTCTTATAAGAGCTAGTGATTATAACACTCCAAAGAGCAACCCCAAGAGCAGGGATTATAGCAGGTATAGCTTTCCCCTACAAGCACGAGACGAGGCTCTTTGTGTGTGTTGAGGGTAAACAGGAACTGATTTTAATGGTGCCACACTTGGCCTTATATGGCAATCCCCATGCAAGGGGTTCGCCTACATGGACCTTGTTGGGGACTCCAACACAGAGTCACAGACGAATCATAACAGTGTTTAACCGCATGACACTCCCATAACAAACGTACAATCCCTCCCCTCTGCCTGGGAGATAATTGAGTCAGATACTGTATTAACTCAATTATCTCCAGGCAGAAAAAAAAACACATATTCTTATAAAACATATCCAAAAATCACCCAGATCAGTTCAGAGGTTCAGGAATTTTATGGAAGTCACGTTCGACTCCCGTTAGAATAGTCGAACATCCATGGAAATCTTTAGTTCATGAACTCGACGACCAAACACCACTCATTGTACTCTTGGTTTAAGATGGGCACTGCCATGTGTTCGAATGCCGCTTCGAACCACTTTGACCATTCGGGAGTTCAAAGTGTTTCTGGTATAAGTCCAAAAGGGCACAAATAGTGTTTTTAAACAAAGTCTTTTACAGGGGCCATAGTCACAGGGCAGGAGGCAGGCAGACAAGCCCCTCTAAGAACTAGTGGCGAGTTTACTTTCGCCACAATCTGCTATGTTAAAATTAGTGTAGTACCCACAGATATTGGGGCACTGTGGTGAAGTGGTGGGCTTAACACGGTTTGACCATGTGGTGTGACCAAATGCCCATATTGGTTGGCCAAGAGAGGTGATGTTAACTTACCTGTTGTGTGCACTGTTCCTTAATTTGTATTTGCATGTTGGTCTTTACAGCTACATCACTACTAAAAAATTCATTTTCTGGGTGTGCCCCCAATTCCTTTTTTCTGTGAATGTTACGTGTATCACAGATTGTCTCCTCTCTCCAGTAGGAGTCCCTGTGGTTTGTTCATATGATTGGAAGTGGTTTTACCAGTTTGCAGTGCAGACAGTTGGGTAAGATCTGCCCCACCTTGTATAAAGCCGTATAAAGCATCTTTGTGTTTGCAGGCACTTTGCTCACTTGGACGGATTGTGGCACAGCTATGGCATTTGTTCCAGCTCCCGGCTACCAGCCAGCGTTCAACCCTGTGAGTAGCCAACTGTCTACTGGCGTGATGGCCAGTCTTATATAGCGACTGTCCATATACTTGGCTGCGTATGTATCGCCCTGTTATAGGGACTGTCTGTATATCTAGATTTATACCGATCTCTCAGTTATAGGGACTGTCTGTATATCTTTCTATTATAGCGACTGGCAATATACCTGGCTATGTACCTGTTCCCATGACACAGGGGTTGCTTTGGAACCTGGCTCTGTTCTCCTGATACATCAATTACGAGTGTACCTGCCTCTGTACATATTTCCCTACTAAAGAGATTGCCTGTATACCTGGCTCTGTATCTATCACTCTGATATAAGGGCTGACAGTATAACTGGCACTGTATCTATCTCTTTTTGAGACAGGGGCTAGTCATATACATAGCTCTTTGCCTGTCATCCTGGGCTGCTGGTATACCTGGCTCTGTGTACCTATCTTCCTTATACAGGGGCTAGCTCTATGTAATTATCTCACAGATAATGGACTGCGGGTATACCTGGCACTGTGTTATTATCTCCTAGATAATAGGCTGCGAGTACACCTGGTACTGTGTAATTATCTCCTAGATAATGGGCTGTGGGTACACCTGGCACTGTGTAATTATCTCCTAGATAATGGGCTGTGGGTACACCTGGTACTGTGTAATTATCTCACAGAAAATAGGCTGCGGGTACACCTGGCACTGTGTAATTATCTCCTAGATAATAGGCTGCGAGTACACCTGGTACTGTGTAATTATCTCCTAGATAATGGGCTGTGGGTACTGTGTAATTATCTCACAGAAAATAGGCTGCGGGTACACCTGGCACTGTGTAATTATCTCCTAGATAATGGGCTGTGGGTACACCTGGTACTGTGTAATTATCTCCTAGATAATGGGCTGTGGGTACACCTGGTACTGTGTAATTATCTCACAGAAAATAGGCTGTGGGTACACCTGGCACTGTGTAATTATCTCCTAGATAATTGACTGTCGGTACACCTGGTACTGTGTATATATCTCCTAGATAATAGGATGTGGGTACACCTGGCACTGTGTAATTATTTCCTAGATAATAGGCTTTGGGGACACCTGGTACTGTGTAATTATCTCCTCGATAATAGGCTGTGGGGACACATGGTACTGTGTAACTATTTCCTAGATAATGGGGCTGTGGGTACACCTGGCACTGTGTAAATATCTCCTAGATAATAGGCTGTGGGTACACTTGGCACTGTGTAATTATCTCCTAGGTAATGGGCTGTGGGTACACCTGACACTGTGACAGTTGGTGTGTCTGAGATAATGTAGTATAGAAACATAGAATGTGAGGGCAGATAAGAACCATTCGGCCCATCTAGTCTGCCCAATTTTCTAAATACTTTAATTAGTCCCTAGCCTTATCTTATAGTTAGGATAGCCTTATGCCTATCCCACGCATGCTTAAACTCCTTTACTGTGTCGACCTCTACCACTTCAGCTGGAAGGCTATTCCATGCATCCACTACCCTCTCAGTAAAGTAATACTTCCTGATATTATTTTTAAACCTTTGCCCCTCAAATTTAAGACCATGTCCTCTTGTGGCTTGGTGATATTGTACACAGGACCCAGCAGAGAAGGAACCAGAAGCTTGGGGTTAATAAATGCTCTGTATTTACATTGGGTCCCAGAACGAGTAGGTCCATGGGGTGTGACTAGCTTGCTTGTCCTTAGTAAAACACTACGGGTGTGTCACTTGCTGTTTTTGGTCTCCTTGTGGTACTAACAAGTGTGAACATGGAGGTGGGATCGGCTGGTGGGGTCCAATGTGACCGATTTGTGAATATTTCTGTAGGAATTTGGACTCCATCCTGCCTTACTCAAACGTTTACTATTTCCAGCCGTCTTCTTTCCCTGCCATTAACTCTTTACCCTGTGTATGAGTTACCGACAGACAAGACCCATCTTAGCACACACATATATAGCGGTCAACAAAATATCCATTTTAGCGAGATTGCAAGAAGAGTTTAATCTGGAAGACATTTAAAGAAAAACAATACTAATGTTGTTTCCAAAGATTGTTTTGTATTGTGTTTCGATGTGCTGCTAAATTAATATTTATACTGAGTGAGATGAGTGTATTAGGTTTTCAAGTCACTCTCAATTACTTAGACAAATACAAAAAAGAAAATTGTCTCAGCCACATGTCTATTAATGAGTGCCATTTTGTGGTGTTGCCCCGATACAATGTTATTCTGACATGTTTCCTTGATGTTACTACGTTTTGGTATCTCGTTTCCTGACTAGTTACTTGAACAGCAGTAATTCTGACATTCAGGCCTTGGTAATTTTTTGTTATGGGCTGGTCATTCGTAGAAGCAGACATATGGATTCCTATCCCTGTCTACCGTCCCTATCCTAATAGCTTCTGGCCTAAACCCCCTTAGTGAGTTCTAATTCTCCTGATGGAACTTGCGTTGTATAAGATAAATGTGGGCAATGAATGGTGCGTGGGCACTGAGTGATGAGCAGACAATTAAAACACCAGTCATTGAACAGCTAAGGGGAGATGTAAATACTTAATGAGGGGTGCGATTATTATAAACAAAACAGATTTTAAAGGGACACTCCAGGCACCCAGACCACTTCTGCCCATTGGAGTGGTCTAAGTGCCAACTCACATCACCCTTAACCCTAGAGTGGTAATTATTGCAGTTTTTATAAGGGTTCCTCCTCTAGTGTTCTTAGAACATGAAGTGTTTTAAACTACACTGGACGCCCTCACGCTATGCATGAGGACCTCCAGCGTTGCCGGAATCCCCATAGGAAAGCATTGAGCGTGGGCGGAGCCTGACCCAGCGCCGAGTGACATCGGCGCTGGATTCAGGTAAGTCACCGAAGGGGTTTTAACCCCTTCAGCAACATGGGATTGGGGTGGGAGGGAGAGGGGCACTGTAGAGTCCTGCAGTGCCAGGAAAACGGCTATGTTTTCCTGGCACTGCAGAGTCGCTTTAAGAAGATTTTAGTTAATAACCACTACAATGCCTCTTTTTAGCCGGTACCTTACACAACAATGATTGCTGGTGGGCTGCGAGAAGGAATGGCCATCTTTATCCAAGGTGTTGTACCCAGTCATCATAACAGGTAAGATCTTTCTCTCTGCTTCTTCTCTTAACTAAACCTTTTCCTCAATCTTCTCCTGTCCACTGTCTATGCCTTTCTATCCTCCCTCACAATCCTGTGTTTCTTCTCGTCCTCTTTTCTTTTCTGCTATTCCTCTTTGCTATTTTGCAGTCTCTTGTATTTTTACTCTCAATAAGGAATTTAATTTCCATCAAAACCATTTTCAGTCCTTTCTTTTTCCTGCTCCCCGCACTCATCTCTGCCTAAACCCTCTCCTCTGTCCAAAGGTTTACCATAAACTTTTCCACTGGCCAATATGAAGGCTCAGACATTGCTTTCCACCTGAATGCACGCTACGATGGCCGTGACCGTGTGATTTTCAATTCGTATCAGGGGGGAGAGTGGAAAGAGGAAGAGATGAAGCGAGAGATGCCGTTTAAATCAGGAAAAGTCTTCCAACTGGTCTACCAGATCACTCGCAACAACTACCAGGTGTGATGGGCCTCCATCTGCGACAATCACTACTCCATGTTACTAATCACACCCACTATGTCCCTGCCTGGTGTGTGCCAGTTTGCTGCTCACACTCAGCCATTCACCAACACAGCCACATGCTAGCACTTACTGGACAACCAACTATAGCTCTGACACTGCCACCACTGGATGAATGCATAAGCAGGTCGGACCCAATCTCATACAGATCCAGAGGGCCCTATATTAACCATGTGAAAGTCGTAATAGTTATTGATGCTGGGCATAAAGAAATCTGTCCTGTCAGCCTGTACGTTTGCTTCTCTGTGACCTTAAATTCCTTATCATCTGTATTAACGCCCATTGGATTTGTTGCATGCACCTGTCCATTCACCAATCACAACCTATTCCATTGATATCACAACTTCCAGGCTTCTAAACCTTCCACCTCTGCATGTTCCTCTCCACTTTTATACATTTGTTAATATCACAGGTTATTTGTTACCTGTGGCGGAAAAATCTTTTAGTACCCCTCATTGTGTGTCTCTGCATCCCTCATCCCCCTGTGTGTGCTAACCCCTATTGTGTCACTTACCTACCTTGCTTGTTATTTGTCTCTTATCTGCCTCTTCTAAGATTGTAACATTGTCGAACGTTCTGCCTGTCACATTGTAAAATATTCTGCCTTTCACATTGGGCAACATTCTGTAACATCGTAGAACATTCTGCCTGTCACATTGTAGAACATTCTGCCTGTCAAATTGGGTAACATTCTGCCTGTCACATCAGACAACGTTCTGTAACATTGTAGAACATTCTGCCTGTCACATTGGGTAACGTTCTGCCTGTCACATTGGGTAACGTTCTGCCCATCACATTATAGAACATTCTGCCTGTCACATTGGGTAATGTTCTGCCCATCACATTGTAGAACATTCTGCCTGTCACATTGGGTAACGTTCTGCCCATCACATTGTAGAACATTCTGCCTGTCACATTGGGTAACGTTCTGCCCATCACATTGTAGAACATTCTGCCTGTCACATTGGACAATGTTATGTAACATTATAGAACATTCTGCCTGTCACATTGAGTAACTTTCTGCCCATCACATTGTAGAACGTTCTGCCGGTCACATTATAGAACGTTCTGCCTGTCACATTGGGTAACGTTCTGCCCATCACATTGTAGAACATTCTGCCGGTCACATTATAGAACATTCTGCCGGTCACATTATAGAACAATTGTAACATTGTCGAACGTTCTGCCTGTCACATTGTAAAATATTCTGCCTTTCACATTGGGCAACATTCTGTAACATCGTAGAACATTCTGCCTGTCACATTGTAGAACATTCTGCCTGTCAAATTGGGTAACATTCTGCCTGTCACATCAGACAACGTTCTGTAACATTGTAGAACATTCTGCCGGTCACATTATAGAACATTCTGCCGGTCACATTATAGAACATTCTGCATGTCACATTGGGTAACGTTCTGCCCATCACATTGTAGAACATTCTGCCTGTCACATTGGGTAACGTTCTGCCCATCACATTGTAGAACATTCTGCCTGTCACATTGGGTAACGTTCTGCCCATCACATTGTAGAACATTCTGCCTGTCACATTGGACAATGTTATGTAACATTATAGAACATTCTGCCTGTCACATTGAGTAACTTTCTGCCCATCACATTGTAGAACGTTCTGCCGGTCACATTATAGAACGTTCTGCCTGTCACATTGGGTAACGTTCTGCCCATCACATTGTAGAACATTCTGCCGGTCACATTATAGAACATTCTGCCGGTCACATTATAGAACATTCTGCATGTCACATTGGGTAACGTTCTGCCCATCACATTGTAGAACATTCTGCCTGTCACATTGTAGAACATTCTGCCTGTCAAATTGGGTAACATTCTGCCTGTCACATCAGACAACGTTCTGTAACATTGTAGAACATTCTGCCGGTCACATTATAGAACATTCTGCCTGTCACATTGCGTAACGTTCTTCCCATCACATTGTAGAACATTCTGCCTGTCACATTGGACAATGTTCTGTAACATTATAGAACATTCTGCCTGTTACATTGGGTAACGTTCTGCCCATCACATTGTAGAACATTCTGCCGGTCAGATTATAGAACATTCTGCCTGTCACATTGGGTAACGTTCTGCCCAACACATTGTAGAACATTCTGCCTGTCACATTGTAGAACATTCTGCCTGTCAAATTGGGTAACATTCTGCCTGTCACATCAGACAACGTTCTGTAACATTGTAGAACGTTCTGCCGGTCACATTATAGAACATTCTGCCTGTCACATTGGGTAATGTACTGCCCATCACATTGTAGAACTTTCTGCCGGTCACATTATAGAACATTCTGCCCATCACATTGTAGAACATTCTGCCTGTCACATTGAGTAACGTTCTGCCCATCACATTGTAGAACATTCTGCCTGTCACATTGGGTAACGTTCTGCCCATCACATTGTAGAACATTCTGCCTGTCACATTGGGTAACGTTCTGCCCATCACATTATAGAACATTCTGGCTATCACATTGTAGAATATTCTGCCTTTCACATTGGATTACTGTCTCTGATATAAATGTACATTCTTCCTGTGATATTAGTTTACATTTTGTCACATTAGGTAACAGTCTTCCTGTCACATCAGGTAATGTTCAGCCTGTCACATTGGCTAACGGTCTGTCTGTCTGTCTCAGGTGTCAGTAAACTGTGCTCCATTCTATGAATTCCCTCACCGGATTCCAATGGAACGAGTCCAATGGCTACAGGTGTCTGGGGACATCACACTGCAGTATCTGTGCATCATAGGGAGTGGCCCAGGGGTGAAAGGGGTAAGCTATCAAAACAAATCCCAGTGTGAGCTGTGTGAGTGTACCTTGTTCAATATGTGTCTTCTCCAAGTGTGAGTAAGGCTGCCTTACTCAATATCCGTCTACTCCCAGTGTGAGTGAGTGCTTCCCTACTCAATATCAATCTATTACCTTATCAGTGTGAGTGAGTGCTTCCCTACTCAATATGTGTCTACTCCCCATGTGAGTGAGGCGTCTCTACCCAATATCTGTTTACTTCCAGTGTGAGTGAGGCTTCCCTACTCAATGTGTGTCTACTCCCAGTGTGAGTGAGGCTTCCCTACTCAATATGTCTACTCCCAGTGTGAGTGAGGCTTCCCTACTCAATATGTGTCTACTCCCAGTGTGAGTGAGGTTTCCCTACTCAATATGTGTCTACTCCCAGTGTCAGTGAGGCTTCCCTACTCCATATCAATCTATTACCGGTGTGAGTGAGGCTTCCCTACTCAATATGTGTCAACTTCCAGTATGAGTGAGGCTTCCCTACTCAATGTGTCAACTTCCAGTGTGAGTGAGGCTTCTCTACTCAATATGTGTATACTCCCCATGTGAGTGAGGCTTCCCTACTCAATATGTATCTACTCCCCATGTGAGTGAGGCTTCCCTACTCAATATGTATCTACTCCCCATGTGAGTGAGGCTTCCCTACTCAATATGTGTCTACTCCCCATGTGAGTGAGGCTTCTCTACCCAATATCTGTTTACTTCCAGTGTGAGTGAGGCTTCTCTACTCAATATGTGTATACTCCCCATGTGAGTGAGGCTTCCCTACTCAATATGTATCTACTCCCCATGTGAGTGAGGCTTCCCTACTCAATATGTGTCTACTCCCCATGTGAGTGAGGCTTCCCTACTCAATATCTGTTTACTTCCAGTGTGAGTAAGGCTTCCCTACTCAATATCCATCTATTACCTTAGCAGTGTGAGTGAGGCTTCTCTACCCAATATCTGTTTACTTCCAGTGTGACTGAGGCTTCCCTACTCAATGTGTGTCTACTCCCAGTGTGAGTGAGGCTTCCCTACTCAATATGTGTCTACTCCCAGTGTGAGTGAGGTTTCCCTACTCAATATGTGTCTACTCCCAGTGTCAGTGAGGCTTCCCTACTCCATATCAATCTATTACCGGTGTGAGTGAGGCTTCCCTACTCAATATGTGTCAACTTCCATTGTGAGTGAGGCTTCCCTACTCAATATGTGTCTACTTCCAGTGTGAGTGAGGCTTCTCTACTCAATATGTGTCTACTCCCCATGTGAGTGAGGCTTCCCTACTCAATATGTATCTACTCCCCATGTGAGTGAGGCTTCCCTACTCAATATGTATCTACTCCCCATGTGAGTGAGGCTTCCCTACTCAATATGTGTCTACTCCCCATGTGAGTGAGGCTTCTCTACCCAATATCTGTTTACTTCCAGTGTGAGTGAGGCTTCCCTACTCAATATGTGTCTACTCCCCATGTGAGTGAGGCTTCTCTACTCAATATCTGTTTACTTCCAGTGTGAGTGAGGCTGCCCTACTCCATTTCTGTATTCTCACCTTGCAGTGAGTGTCAGTCCCAGCAAGTTGCAGGGAGGGAATTCTGATAATTGTGTTAATCCTATTTTATTCCAGGGTCTGGTCATGACGGCCCCACAAGGGGAGCTTCCGGTGAGCATTATATCTATATATCTTCCAATTATTATTATATACTTATTATTATTATATTGTCAATATACTATTACATGATACGATGATTTAGTATGAAGAGATAACAGTATTATCATTCTTTTAAACAATGTATGTACGAAATGATATGATAGAAAATTTATATATGATATTATTTTAGATATTAGATCAATATTATTTATTATATGTGTATTAACCCCTTCACTACCAAATATGTTTTGCCTTAAAAATAATAAAATTTAAAAAAAGGATATTATATAAGAAGTGATATGTTTGTGATTAAACTACATTTTGGGTACAGACTGCTGATCACGAACATTAACAAAATAAAATGATGTAAATGTATACTGTGTTTGTTAATCCTTTATAGAGAGGTAAGTATAGCGTGGGAGGTGTTTAGAATATTTTCTAGACCATCCGGCCCACTTTGTCTCTTGTCAGACAGGAAACTCAATATGGGCAGTGAAACAGAAATACAATTTCTCGTAATTCTATATATAGTAGTTGTGACCAAAACAATCTTAAAATAGGTAAAAGTATTTACTTATAGTTATTTTAATGACCCTGCTGGTAGCTTTTACAAAATGGCAGCAGAATTTAAAGATGGATGTTTGTTTGAGGTCCCAATACAGTAAGTACAGCTAGGCCACGAATCTGTACAATGCAAGGTGGTACAGACTGCGGTTCACAGAATAACCACCTGGCGGAGACACGGGCTGCGCTGCATTGTGACCAGCTGCACTGGAGCCACACGGATGGTGCGAATATGCCTTTATGGGCTTAGTTTATTTGTATTGATTCACGATACAGATTGGTAACGTGTATACAGGTTGTTGGGAGGGATGAGGTTGATACCGATATTATCGATTACATGCTTATTGTCTGTTGATTGCAAGATATTTGTATAAAGTTGGTATTATAGGTTATGGCGTCATACTATTGCAGTAGTATGTTATAAATCTATTATACTGTCGCATGACGTAGCATGTGTTTAGTATTATAGGCCGAACCAATCTATTATTGATTACTTTGTCTTCCTTTCTCACGCAGCCCATGCTGGGACCCCCCATTCTAAATCCAGTAAGTCCATGTTCTGCACAGACCCCCATAGCACCCCGATCTTTGGATTACTCTGTAATAACAAGGGATAATTCCTTTGCAGGCCATGCCTTTCACTACAAGTATCCGCGGGGGGATGATCCCAAAACGCACAGTGGTTGTGAAAGGGATGGTGAACTCAAATGCCAAGAGGTAAGAATTGCTCTGCAGAGCAGTGAGAGGAGGAGTGAGCAATGCTCTGCAGAGCAGTAAGAGGAGGAGTGAGCATGTTCTGCAGAGCAGTGAGTGGAGGAGTGAGTATTGCTCTGCAGAACAGTGAGTGGAGGGGTGAGCAATGCTCTGCAGACCAGTGAGAGGAGGAGTAAGCAATGCTCTGCAGAGCAGTGAGAGGGGGGGTGAGCAATGCTCTGCAGAGCAGTGAGTGGAGGAGTGAGCATTGCTTTGCAGAGCAGTGAGAGGAGGAGTAAGCAATGCTCTGCAGAGCAGTAAGAGGAGAAAGGTCTGGTCACTGATGGTTTCACTAATGTCAGTAACTTCTCACACTTTTCCAGCATCATAATCAACTTTAAGGTGGGATATTCCAATGACATCGCTCTGCACATCAATGCCCGAATTAATAAGTCAGCGGTCATCAGGAACAGCTTTGTGAATGGAGCCTGGGGAGAAGAGGAGAAGGAGGTCACAACGTACCCCTTCAAACAGGGAGACTTCTTCGATGTGAGTGAAACATTCATATAACTGGACTTCCTGAATGAAAGGATATGTAGAGAGACAGGACCTCTTGAGTGAAGGGATATATAGAGAGACAGGACCTCCTGAGTGAAGGGATATATAGAGAGACAGGACCTCCTGAGTGAAGGGATATATAGAGAGACAGGACCTCCTGAGTGAAGGGATATATAGAGAGACAGGACCTCCTGAGTGAAGGGCTATATAGAGAGACAGGACCTCCTGAGTGAAGGGCTATATAGAGAGACAGGACCTCCTGAGTGAAGGGCTATATAGAGAGACAGGACCTCCTGAGTGAAGGGATATATAGAGAGACAGGACCTCCTGAGTGAAGGGATATATAGAGAGACAGGACCTCCTGAGTGAAGGGATATATAGAGAGACAGGACCTCCTGAGTGAAGGGATATATAGAGAGACAGGACCTCCTGAGTGAAGGGATATATAGAGAGACAGGACCTCCTGAGTGAAGGGATATATAGAGAGACAGGACCTCCTGAGTGAAGGGATATATAAAGAGACAGGACCTCCTGAGTGAAGGGATATGTAAAGAGACAGGACCTCCTGAGTGAAGGGATATATAAAGAGACAGGACCTCCTGAGTGAAGGGATATGTAAAGAGACAGGACAGGACCTCTTGAGTGAAGGGATATATAGAGAGGGACAGGACCTCTGAGTGAAGGGATATATAGAGACAGGACCTTCCTCCTGAGTGAGAGGGCTATATAGAGAGACAGGACCTCCTGAGTGAAGGGATATGTAAAGAGACAGGACCTCCTGAGTGAAGGGATATGTAAAGAGACAGGACCTCCTGAGTGAAGGGATATGTAAAGAGACAGGTCCTCCTGAGTGAAGGGATATATAAAGAGACAGGACCTCCTGAGTGAAGGGATATATAAAGAGACAGGACCTCCTGAGTGAAGGGATATGTAAAGAGACAGGACCTCCTGAGTGAAGGGATATGTAAAGAGACAGGACTCCTGAGTGAAGGGATATATAGAGAGACAGTTCCGCCTGAGTGAAGGGATATATAGAGAGATAGGACCTCCTGAGTGAAGGGATAGATAAAGAGACAAGACCTCCTGAGTGAAGGGATATGTAAAGAGACAGGACCTCCTGAGTGAGGGGATATATAGAGAGACAGTTCAGCCTGAGTTAAGGGATATATAAAGAGACAGGACCTCCTGAGTGAAGGGATATATAGAGAGACAGGACCTCCTGAGTGAAGGGATATAGAGAGAGAGACAGGACCTCCTGAGTGAAGGGATATATAAAGAGAAAGGACCTCCTGAGTGAAGGGATAGATAAAGAGACAGGACCTCCTGAGTGAAGGGATATATAAAGAGACAGTTTCTCCTGAGTGAAGGGATATATAGAGAGACAGTTCCGCCTGAGTGAAGGGATTTATAGAGAGATAGGACCTCCTGAGTGAAGGGATATAGAGAGAGACAGGACCTCCTGAGTGAAGGGATATATAAAGAGAAAGGACCTCCTGAGTGAAGGGATATATAGAGAGATAGGACCTCCTGAGTGAAGGGATAGATAAAGAGACAGGACATCCTGAGTGAAGGGATATAAAGAGAGATAGGACCTCCTGAGTGAAGGGATAGATAAAGAGACAGGACCTCCTGAGTGAAGGGATATATAAAGAGACAGTTTCTTCTGAGTGAAGGGATATATAGAGAGACAGTTCCGCCTGAGTGAAGGGATATATAGAGAGATAGGACCTCCTGAGTGAAGGGATAGATAAAGAGACAAGACCTCCTGAGTGAAGGGATATGTAAAGAGACAGGACCTCCTGAGTGAAGGGATATGTAAAGAGACAGGACCTCCTGAGTGAAGGGATATATAGAGAGACAGGACCTCCTGAGTGAAGGGATATATAAAGAGACAGGACCTCCTGAGTGAAGGGATATATAAAGAGAAAGGACCTCCTGAGTGAAGGGATATATAGAGAGACAGGACCTTCTGAGTGAAGGGATATATAAAGAGACAGTTTCTCCTGAGTGAGGGGATATATAGAGAGACAGTTCAGCCTGAGTTAAGGGATATATAAAGAGACAGGACCTCCTGAGTGAAGGGATATATAAAGAGACAGGACCTCCTGAGTGAAGGGATAGATAAAGAGACAGGACCTCCTGAGTAAAGGGATATATAAAGAGACAGGAGCTCCTGAGTGAAGGGATATGTAAAGAGACAGTTCCTCCTGAGTGAAGGGATATATAAAGAGACAGGACCTCCTGAGTGAAGGGATATATAAAGAGACAGGACCTCCTGAGTGAAAGGATATATAAAGTGACAGGACCTCCTGAGTGAAGGGATATGTAAAGAGACAGGACCTCCTGAGTGACATATAGAGAGACAGGACCTCCTCAGTGAAGGGATATATAAAGAGACATGACCTTCTGAGTGAAGGGATATATAAAGAGACAGGACCTCCTGAGTGAAGGGATATGTAAAGAGACAGGACCTCCTGAGTGAAGGGATATGTAAAGAGACAGTTCCTCCTGAGTGAAGGGATATATAAAGAGACAGTTCCTCCTGAGTGAAGGGATATGTAAAGAGACAGGACCTCCTGAGTGAAGGGATATGTAAAGAGACAGGACCTCCTGAGTGGAGGGCTATATAGAGAGACAGGACCTCCTGAGTGAAGGGCTATATAGAGAGACAGGACCTCCTGAGTGAAGGGATATATAAAGAGACAGGACCTCCTGAGTGAAGGGATATGTAAAGAGACAGGACCTCCTGAGTGAAGGGATATGTAAAGAGACAGGACCTCCTGAGTGAAGGGATATGTAAAGAGACAGTTCCTCCTGAGTGAAGGGATATATAAAGAGACAGTTCCTCCTGAGTGAAGGGATATGTAAAGAGACAGGACCTCCTGAGTGAAGGGATATTTAAAGAGACAGGACCTCCTGAGTGGAGGGCTATATAGAGAGACAGGACCTCCTGAGTGAAGGGCTATATAGAGAGACAGGACCTCCTGAGTGAAGGGATATATAAAGAGACAGTTCCTCCTGAGTGAAGGGATATGTAAAGAGACAGGACCTCCTGAGTGAAGGGATATGTAAAGAGACAGGACCTCCTGAGTGAAGGGATATGTCAAGAGACAGTTCCTCCTGAGTGAAGGGATATATAAAGAGACAGGACCTCCTGTGTAAGGAAACATAGAAACATAGAATGTGACGGCAGATAAGAACCATTCGGCCCATCTAGTCTGCCCAATTTTCTAAATACTTTCATTAGTCCCTAAACTTATCTTATAGTTAGGACAGCCTTATGCCTATGCCATGCATGCTTAAACTCCTTTACCATGTTAACCTCTATCACGTCAGCTAGAAGGATATTCCATGCATCCACTACCCTCTCAGTAAAGTAATACTTCCTGAAATTATTTTTTAACCTTTGCCCCTCTAATTTAAGACTATGTCCTCTTGTTGTGGTAGCTTTTCTTCTTTTAAATATAGTCTCCTCCTTTACTGTGTTGATTCCCTTTATGTATTTAAATGTTTCTATCATATCCCCCCTGTCTCGTCTTTCCTCCAAGCTATACATGTTAAGATCCTTTAACCTTTCCTGGTAAGTTTTATCCCGCAATCCATGAACCAGTTTAGTAGCCCTTCTCTGAACCCTCTCTAAGGTATCAATATCCTTCTGAAGATACGGTCTCCAGTACTGTGTACAATACTCCAAGTGAGGTCTCACCAGTGTTCTGTACAATGGCATGAGCACTTCCCTCTTTCTACTGCTAATACCTCTCCCTATACAACCAAGCATTCTGCTAGCATTTCCTGCTGCTCTATTACATTGTCTGCCTACCTTTAAGTCATCAGAAATAATCACCCCTAAATCCCTTTCCTCAGATGTTGAGGTTAGAACTCTATCAAATATTCTGTACTCTGCCCTTGGGTTTTTACTCCAAGATGCATTATCTTTCACTTATCCACATTAAATGTCAGCTGCCACAACTCTGACCATTTTTCCAGTTTACCTAAATCATGTGACATTTGGCTTATCCCTCCTTGAACATGAACCCTGTTACATATCTTAGTAACATCAACAAAAAGACATACCTTACCATCAAGACCTTTTGCAATATCAATAAATAATAAATAAATATTAAAGGGACACTATAGTCACCTGAACAACTTTAGCTTAATGAAGCAGTTTTGGAGTATAGAACATGCCCCTGCAGCCTCACTGCTCAATCCTCTACCATTTAGGAGTTAAATCCCTTTGTTTATGAACCCTAGTCACACCTCCCTGCATGTGACTTGCACAGCCTTCCATAAACACTTCCTGTAAAGAGAGCCCTATTTAGGCTTTCTTTATTGCAAGTTCTGTTTAATTAAGATTTTCTTATCCCCTGCTATGTTAATAGCTTGCTAGACCCTGCAAGAGCCTCCTGTATGTGATTAAAGTTCAATTTAGAAATTGAGATACAATTATTTAAGGTAAATTACATCTGTTTGAAAGTGAAACCAGTTTTTTTCATGCAGGCTCTGTCAATCATAGCCAGGGGAGGTGTGGCTAGGGCTGCATAAACAGAAACAAAGTGATTTAACTCCTAAATGACAGTGAATTGATCAGTGAAATTGCAGGGGAATGATCTATACACTAAAACTGCTTTATTTAGCTAAAGTAATTTAGGTGACTATAGTGTTCCTTTAAAGAGAATGGGTCCAAGTACAGATCCCTGAGACCTATTGGGATGCGTTATGATTGAATGGACATATTGCCTGAAGGAACAAATAGGGGTTTGTATGTAGTAAAGCTTCTGCATAGGGAAAGCTATAGGCACTGAGTAGATATAAACATTCATGATGTTCAAACACACTACACTAGTGAGTTGTAAATGTATGTAATGATGGCAGTCAAACTGTGTATATTGCATTATTATTCTTTATGTTTCTTCCAGATCTCTGTCCGTAGTGGGGAGAAGCGGTTTAAGGTTTATGTAAATGGTCATCACTGCTTCAACTATGAACATCGGCTCTGGAACCTGCAACAAATCGACACACTAGATGTGGAAGGAGATTTGAAGTTGTGCTTCGTCCACTTGTAACGGAGCATGTATCTAGCACGCCTGTAACAACATCTGCATTCATTCAACTCATTGTCCATACACCCAACCCTCTAACCAAAACTGTATTCATCTAACCAGTTTCCATTAACCCAACTCTCTAACCAAATCTGCATTTATCTAACCATATTCCAGCCACCCAACCCTCTAACCAAACTGCCTTCATCCAACCTTTGTCCATTAACCCAAATCTCTAACCAAATCTGTATTCATCTAAGCATTGTCTATCCCGTTAACCAAATCTGCACTCATCCAACCCCTCTGCTACAACTAAACACCCATTAACTTCTCCTTACCCCCACCATCTGTTTTGTATGAATGTGGACATATTTTAAACAATCTAAATAAAATGTTCTTACAAAACTCAACATGTATTTATTCTGTAACTGCTACTCAGAGTGGGTAAATTATTGTTGCTAAATGTCACTATGGAATGGATTAATTTTTTATTGGTAAATGTTACTCTGCAAGGGTAAATCATTACCATTAAATATTACCGGGGTGGGGGAGCTATCATTACAAGTTATACCATCACTGAACTAATAACACCCAGTGATTTTCTTCATAGAGTTTGTTTTCCAGCCAATCAGTGTGAAAACATAATAATATTTATATATAAAATCAGTAAAAATGCAATGGGTCGAGGTTCTTGCATAAGTCCATCTATAAAGGATGTTTTTATTATATTTCCTTCATGCAAAAATGGAAAATGCTGCCCAATATATTATCTATCTACGGATACATAGCCCATAAACAGGGCAAACCAGGAAAATAATCTATTATGTCAAGGAGCTTGTTAAGGTAACTAATCACTGATTATGATGTGGTGCTCCATCTCAGCCCACCAGGAGCCCTGTGCCCTTCTATTAATCAGAAAGTGCATTTATACTGCATTTCTTTAGTCTGGGATTTTGACCCTGTTTCTCAACTATACAGAATTCTGTACTCCTTGACCTTTGGCTTGTCTCACTATCTTGACTTTGAGTGTCCTTTGACCGTGGCCTGCCCTTTGACCATTGTTAAGCCTCTAAGGACCAGTAATATTTTCTCTTTACCTAACTTTCTGAGATTTACTTGTTACATGGCAGACAGCAAGAGACCAACAAAAATGGATGCAGGCCATTGTTAAACAAAGGGTTATACAATCTCCACAGGTAGGGGGTGGGCAGATACACAACCTTCTACATGTAGCCATCTACATTCTGGGAGAAAAAGGTGTCTGATCAGGGACTGGAGGTTTTATTGCCCTTAAGCATGCCCTGCTGCTAAGAAATGGACTGGCAGAAAGGAAGTGTTAGATTAGGCTATTAATTGCCTCCTGCGGTGCCCTAGCCTAGCACCCAGCATGGGGCAATCTAATGGGGGAAAGTGATCCATGGTGTTAAAAAATGTCTGTTTAAACTACAGAACCAAAGGTCATTGTGTTTCATTTATTGGAGCCAGGAACATGGAGGCAAATCTCCCAAAAGTACACCGGATATAATTCCTCCTACTATGCCAGCAGCAGTCATGCTCACAGACAATTTAACAGGCCTCACAACCATCCAGATATCGGTGGGACAATTCACAGATTTTACTATTAGCATGACGTAAAGTCATGATTTTATTAAAGACACGGAGGCTCCTATTATGCTGCACTCTTTCTTTATTTTCCCTCAGCAGAAAAGAAATTTTTTTCCAAACATAACCAGTAGTAACAATAAACAGTCTGAGATGCGTATCCTAGTAACAGGAACAGCCAATCGGATTCCACTCTCCAGCATAATAGGCTCTGTCAATCAATCCAATTCCTCTTTATTTGCGGTCCCGAAGCAGTATAATCATCCAGCCGAAAAAGGAGAACTGTGTAACAAGGGTATCTCCAATGACCTGGATTAGGTTAGGCTGTAAGACAAGGAGAAATATGGTAATATCTTTGTAACAAACTGGATGTCCGCATACATCATAATATTCATAATGTCAATGTAATTCTACTAATCCCTAGTGGTTAAGTGGAGTATTGTCAAGCGTAACTTGTAGCAATTTCAGACTAATAGGACTTACCTTGAAATCAACTTACCCATATTCCATCCTTCCACGGGATGGGTGGGAGGGATAATACTTGCCTCCGTGTCGTTAATAAAATCATGACTTTATGTCATGCTAATAGTAAAATCTGTGAATTTTATTAAGACACGGAGGCTCCTATTATGCTGGTTTAAAGCTGGGAGATTACCGTTCCCACGAAGTGCTGAATGGGTTTAAAGTAAAAGTCCCTAAAAGTCGATTCTGAGGACCAATCGCCCGCCTTCAAAATGTCCTCCAGCCGGCAACCAATCAAGGAGGCTCTGGAAGCCATTGCTCCTCGCACTGAGTGAGGTGAGAATAGTGAGGTGTCAATGCCCGCTAGGTGTCAGGATAGTGACAGGGATCCAATACGCAGAGTGCGGACAGAAGGAGGTACGTATACCGGACCTTAGAATGGCCGGACTAACGTATGGACAAAACAAGAATAGTCAAAAGGTAAGCCGAGGTCGAGGGAGCTGGAGGACAGGTAAGCGAGGAACAAGCCGGGTCAAAGGAGAGGAGAGAACAACAGGACAAAGGTACAAGCAAGGTCAAAACCAAAAACACTAAGAGAGAGAACGCGCTGAGTGACTAGCAAGCTAGAACCACGACAGGGCAATGAGCAGTAGTAAAAGTTCCCTTAAATACCCTGTCACCTTAATTGAGACCACGCCCCCAAAAGGTCCGGAATTGCGGTTCCCGGCACTTCACGGAATGATGACGTCATGACGTCGACGCTAGCCGTCGCGTCATAAAAGGGGGAGGAGCTAGCGTGGCCGGCGCGAAAACGGCCGGAATTGCCGAAATGCTAGGGGAGGGGAGCCCCTATGAAGAGAGGATGTCCTCCTCGGAGGCAACACCAACAGGTAACCTGACAGTACCCCCCCTTCTAGAAACGCCCACCGGGCGGATGGGACCAGGCTTAGAAGGAAAACGAACGTGGAAGGCCCGAAGAAGACGAGGAGCATGCACGTCTCCACAAGGAACCCAAGATCTCTCTTCTGGACCATAACCCTTCCAGTCTATGAGGTATTGTAACTTCCCCCTAGAAATACGAGAATCAAGAATGGACCTAACAATATATTCTTCCTGACCATCCACTCGAACCGAAGATGGAGGAGCAGAGCGGGAGGAAAACCTGTTACAAACAAGAGGTTTCAATAAAGACACATGAAAAGAGTTAGGGATACGTAGAGTAGGAGGCAGGTCCAGCAAATAAGAAACCGGGTTGATCCTCCTCAACACCCTGTAAGGACCTATGTAACGAGGAGCAAACTTCAAGGAAGGGACTTTCAAGCGAATGTGTCTGGTACTCAACCAGACCCTATCACCCAGAGAAAAAACAGGAGCGGGCCGTCTACGCCTATCAGCATGCATCTTAAACACCGCGGAACTACGCGTAAGAATTTGTCGAGTCTGATCCCACAACTTTCTCAGGTTGGCTATATGAACATCAACCGACGGTAAACCCTGGGAAGGAGACACCGACGGAAGAATAGTAGGGTTAAAGCCATAGTTCAAGAAAAAGGGGCTATTACGAGTGGAACCACAAACAAGGTTGTTGTGAGCAAACTCCGCCCAAGGAATCAGACCGACCCAATCGTCCTGGTGTTCAGAAACAAAACAACGTAGATATTGCTCAATTTTTTGGTTAGTGCGTTCGGCTGCTCCGTTAGATTGAGGATGATAGGCCGAAGAAAAATTCAGCTTGATGCCCAACTGGGAACAGAAGGATCTCCAAAAACGGGAAATAAACTGGGAACCCCTGTCAGACACAATCTCATTGGGAATACCATGCAAACGAAAAATCTTTCTAGCAAATATCACGGCCAGTTCGGGTGAGGAAGGAAGTTTAGGCAAGGGGATGAAATGAGCCATTTTGGTAAACCTGTCAAGAACCGTGAGGATAACAGTGTGTCTATTGGAAACCAGCAAATCAACAATAAAATCCATAGCCAAACTAGCCCAAGGTTTGTTGGGAACGACTAAGGGCTGCAATAGACCACAAGGAAGATCCCGTGGTAGTTTATTCCTGACACAGATATCGCAGGCCTTGACAAAGTCTTCCACATCCCTGCGTAAACTAGGCCACCAGAAGTCTTTGGAAATCAGGCAGCAAGTTTTGTGGATGCCGGGGTGACCGGCAAACTTGCTATCGTGAAAACAACGAATAATGTCCACTTGGAATTTGGGAGACACGAACAAGCGGCCCACAGGAGTACGCTCGGGAGCAAGAGATTGTTCGTTCATTATATCTACGAGCAATGGAGAGTGTATTTTGACATTGGTGTTGGCGATAATGTTGTTTTCAGGAACAATAGGAGACAAAGTGTCTTCTGTAATGGTGATAGGTTCGTGCTGACGAGACAATGCGTCTGCCTTGGTGTTTTTAGAACCAGGCCTGTAAGTAAGTATGTAATTGAAATGTGTAAGGAACATAGACCAACGTGCTTGCCTGGCAGATAATCTTTTGGCCTCCCCCATATAAGATAAATTTTTGTGATCAGTCAAGATAGTAACTGGGAGAACAGTGCCCTCTAACAGATGTCTCCATTCCTTTAATGCCATAATAATAGCTAAGAGTTCTCTGTCACCAATATCATATCTCCTTTCAGTGTGTGATAATTTCTTGGAAAAAAAACCGCAAGGGTGCAACGGCTTATCTAAACTTTGTCTTTGGGACAATACTGCGCCTATCCCTATTTCAGACGCATCAACTTCAAGCAAAAAGGGCAGAGAGGTATCAGGATGAACTAATACAGGTGCTGAAGCAAAAGTCTGTTTGAGCGTTTCGAAAGCAGATAACGCCTCAGTAGACCACGTTTTGGTATCGGCTCCTTGTTTAGTCATATTAGTGATAGGAGCGATAACAGAGGAGTACCCTTTAATGAAACGTCTGTAATAATTAGAAAATCTAATAAATCTTTGTATGGCTTTGAGTCCCTTGGGTAAAGGCCAATCTAAAATCGATTTTAGTTTGATCGGGTCCATCATAAACCCGTCTTTGGAAATTACGTAGCCTAAGAAAGTTACCTGAGACTGATCAAAGCTACATTTCTCCAATTTACAATACAATCCATGTTGTAAAAGTTTCTGTAATACCTTTCTGACCTGTCTGTGATGTGAGTCAATGTCCCTAGAATGTATTAGTATATCATCCAAATATACAATCACACATTCGTGTTGAAATTCTCTAAGGACCTCATTAATTAAGTCTTGGAAGACGGCCGGGGCATTGCATAGCCCAAACGGCATTACGGTATACTCATAATGTCCGTAACGGGTATTAAATGCTGTCATCCATTCATCTCCTTGTTTAATT